GACCTAACTTAGGAAGCTGGGAGTGTTTACAGAAAGAAGTAAGATAAAGTTGTCTTCTGTAAGGGGCTGACATGGAAGGGAGATTAAGCTTGTTCTTTATGACTTGCGCAGAGAACTGAACTGGGGCCTTTGTCAGGAAGTAACCAGAAGGTATCACCTCTTTATAATTTCCCCTGAAAAAAAGGTTTGTAATATGGAGGAAAAGACTTCCCTTCACTAGATGTATACAAACAGGGTCAGGACAGTCATTTTTCAGAGTTATTGATGATTCAAGAACCTGATTGAGGAGGACTATGGATATAGAAGGATGAAGCTAAATGAGAAAGCTTCTGAGTCCCCTTCCAATTATGAATTCCATGATTCCTTTATATCTTTGGTAGACTTTCCATTTTCTGCCTAGTCTTTGAACATCTGTCCCCTTAATGAGTGGAAGTATTGCATAAAGGTTAATAAAGCAAGTGCTAGAGCCATATTTCCTGGCTTTGAGTCCTGTTCTGCCATGTACCAGTTGTATGACCTGAAATTATTTAATTGCTCTGTACCCCAGCTTACTTATCCATAAAATAGTGATTATAATAAAATATATATCTAATAGGATTGATGTAAGATTAAATGAGATACATAAAACACTTTAGGATAGTGCCTGACACAGTGTAAGCACTCCAGAAATTTTAGCTAATATCATCTCGCTCTCTGTCAGTTATTTCTACTTCTAAAGCTAGGCTTGTCTGTCTGGTCCAGATAGTCCCTCTTCTTCACATACGCTTTCTGATTATCTCAGGATGCTTTTGGCTAGAGGGAACAGTAAACTCAAAATAGCTTAAATGATAATAGGATTTATGACCTCACATATCAAGAGGTACAGAGCTAGGAGGATCCAGGTTGACTAATTCAGTCTGCCTCATAGCATCAAGGATCCAGGCTTATTTTCTCTGCTCCACCATCCTCCATGAGTTGATAGAATATTGCAATCCAGGCATCATCTGTACGCAAGACTACCTTCAGGAAAAGATAACAACCATTTTTTTTCTAGTGGCTTTTTTTTTTTTTTAAGATTTTATTTATTTATTTGACAGAGAGAGACAGCTAGAGAGGGAACACAAGCATGGGGAGCAGGAAAGGGAGAAGCAGGCTCCCAGCCGATCAGGGAGCCCGGAGCAGGGCTCGATCCCAGGACCCTGGGACCATGACCTGAGCCGAAGGCAGACGCTTAATGACTGAGCCACCCAGGCACCCCACATTTTTTTTTAATAGAGTGAATACCCTTTCTTTGAAGCTGTTCACGTCGCAAAGTCCTCTCATATTTCACTGGTGATGATTGAGTCGTTTGTCCCTTCCTAAATCAGTCACAAAAAGGAAAGAGAATTACCATGATTGATCTAGCTAATTAGGATCCACATTCTAGGACTCAGGAATAGGGTCACTTTCTCTGATCATGTGTCCTTAGATGAAGGCAAACACCAAAAGAAAATCTGGGCTAGATTGTTATGTGTGGAAGAAAGGGGAGATTTGGATAGTGTGCTAGAGTACCTTTTCTTCTGCTATTGTGTTTTCCTTGGAGTAAGAATTACTTTATTTTACATAGCCTTTAAGAGGCTGGTAGTCTCTCAGTGGAAATGCCTGTCAAAATTCTTAAAAGTGGATGCATCATTAATCGCTGTCTGTTTTCTGAGGGTTTTTAAGAATCTAAAGCTCAAGTTTTTCTGTTTCTCAGTGAATGAAGGAAACCATGTAGCTCCTTAAAACTGCAGTTGGAATATGTGACCATATTCCACAGGTGGCTGTTACGAAAGACCTTTTTTTGTTTAATTTTTCCCTTAGTGCTTTGGCTGAGAAACAGTGTTTAGACACTGTGAAATTAGTCTAGATATCCAGATAGTTGAGCCTTTTCTGACTTATGTGTGAAAAGGAGCTGCAAAGTTGTCATTCTGATTTGAAGAAATATATCTGTTTGGTAATGGAGACCTGGAAAAAGAAACACCCAGCTGCTTTATATTTTTCCGTATCACCTTCCCCTTTTTTAAAATTTTTTTTATTTTTTTCCCTTTTTTTAATTGAGATATAATTAATATATAGCTCTGTGTAAGTTTAAGGTGTACTACATAATGACTTGACATACATATATACTGAAAATGATTACCACAGGGACGCCTGGGTGACTCAGTCAGTTAAGCATCTGCCTTCAGCTCAGGTCATGATCCTAGGTACCTGTGATCAGGTCCCGCATCGGGCTCTCTGCTCAGCGGGGACCCTGCTTCTTTCTCCCTCTGCCTGATGCTCCCCCTGCTTGTGTTCTCTCTTTCTCTGTCTCTTGCTCTGACAAATAAGTAAGTAAGTAAGTAAGTAAGTAAATAAATAAATAAATAAATAAATAAAATCTTAAAAAAGAAAATGATTACCACAATGAGTTTAGTTAACATTCATCTCCTTATATAGCTACAAAAAAGTTTTCTCCTTGGGATGAGAACTTTTAGGATCTACTCTCTTAGCAACTTTCAAATATACCATACAGCAGCATTAAGTATAGTCATCATGTTGTACATTGCATCCCCAGTACTTATTTGTCTTCTAACTAGAAGCTGGTACCTTTTTGACCACCTTCATCCAATTTCCCCATTTGGCAGCCCTCACATTCTCTTTCTGACAGAGAAATTTGTTTGAGGGTATTTAAGCCTGAAAAAGAAAAATACTGAAGGTCTATTATGTGGTAAAAGACGTAAACTTAATTTTGTGTGACTCAACAGCAGATTTAGCATCAAGATTGAAACAGTACATAGCTTATTATAGGGAGCAACTCTGTAGTAATAAGACTATTTAAAAAGTAGTGGGATGATCCCTTGCCAGGAGTTTTCTAGGAGAGGCTTGCAGGCCCCTCTGAGGAAGTTCCAGAATGGAGTTCTGATGTGGGGAGATGGTGGCGGGGGAAGGTGGGATTGCATGAAGGCAACTTAAGAACCCTTACAATTCTGATCTCTATTGATGTTTCCCAGCTAAGAGATATGGAAAAGGCACGTGCTGAGTTTTATTACACTTCAAACTGAAGAGAATGGGTGCTTGATTTACCTATGGGAGAAAAAATAAATATATGTGTATATGCAGTCTCCACGTACAGCCAAAGATCCATAAGGTCCATAGGTTATAACTCTTTTATAGAATCCTCTAGGTACTAGATACAGTTAATTAAAAAACAGAATATTGGCCATTTTCTTGTGTAGTCAGTTTCTTCCAGTATTTGTCATCTTAAATTCAAGTGTACGACTATGATTATATGAATGACTCTCTGGTCTTTTAAAGGGCCTTTATCTAGCCCTATGCAAACTAAGTGTCTAGGCAGCTGCACAAGTCACCACCAGGTGAACAAAGCAGTAATCTTATAGACTATCTAATTTATGCTAGGATGAGATTACCTGTGCTTCTTAAGGAGCCTTCAGGGTCTTACAGTTTAAACTGATTTGAAGGAGGAAAAAATGGCTGGTGTGACAGTTTTCTTGAATCATTGCTATTTGTTTGTTTGGCTCAGTTTCTAGGGCCACATGAAATAAATATGATGTCTGGGAGGGTTTCTAGTCTTATCTTTGTAAAGGAGGGAAAGAGAAGTATTCAGGATTGAAGGACAGTCTGTAATCTGTGGAATGAAAACCTCTACAAATTTCTGCTTCTGAGTGTGTGCTTGGAGTACTGTGTTCACTTCATTACAGGATTTTCCAGGTATCCAGAGTAAGTGATAAAGAGCTGGCTACCCCTGGAGTACAGAAGTTCTGCATCATTGGGAGGCAGTAGAGTGATTGAACCCAAATAGTGAATAACAAAGCAAAGATTCTCTTTTCCTTCAGGGAGAGACCCAGTCTTTCTGAAGGATAGCTGAATGCCGAGTTCTCTTACTTCTTCATTGCTTAAGATAAAGGAAAGAATTTAAGAGTCTATAACCATCATCTGATTTTGTTGCCTTTTGATGGGGGAGACACTTAAAGTTGGTAACATTGTTGTGGTTTGTGGTAGCTGTGGAAGTTCTCCCTTGGGAAAGGAGAGTGGTCCTCTCTGGTGGTGAATAGAGCTTTATAATATACTTTACTTCTTTCTGGAGAAAGTCTGGTGCTCACGCTGAAAATGTAAGCAAATTTCTGTAGGAAATGAGGGAGGGCAAATAAAGTGCTAAAAGGACTCATACTACATTGCTTTAGAACTGGATCCTGGTGAATCTCAAAATAATTACCAAGAATCCAGATATGTATGATGTAAAATGCTAGTGAATGCGAACTAATCCGTAGTGACAGAAAGCAGATCAGTGGTAGGTTGGGATGGTAGAGAGGGGAGGAAGGGCTTACAAAGGAGCAGGAGGAAACTTTTGGGGTGATGAATGTGCTCACTATCTTGATTGTGATGATGGTTTCACAGATGTGTGCATGTTTCATAATTCATCAAATTTGTACATTTTAAATATATGCAATTTATTGTATGTCAGCTTTACCTCAATAAAGCTTTTATTATTTTTTTAAAGATTTTATTTCTTTATTTAACAGAGAGAGACACAGAGAGGGAACACAAGCAGGGGGAGTGGGAGAGGGAGAAGCAGGCTTCCCGAGGAGCAGGGAGCCCGATGAGGGCTCAGTCCCAGGATACTGGGATCATGACCTCAGCCGAAGGCAGACGCTCAACAACTGAGCCACCCAGGCACCCCTATAATTTTTTTGTTTTTTTAAAAAGATTTTATTTTTAAGTAATCTCTACATCTAACATGGGGCTTGAACTTACAACCCCAAGATCAAGAGTCACACACTCCACTGACTGAGCCAGCCAGGCGCCACTACCTCAATAAAGCTTTAAAAAAAAAAGAAATCAGTCAATCAGTCAGTCAATCAATCCTGGGTCAGCATTTATCCAAGGACCCTTCTGTACGTTACAGGGTGGCTGCTGCAGACTAGTATGTGAAATGCAAGTCGTGTGTGTATGTGAAGTATGGATAAATAAACTCCTGTTTAATGCATTTCATGTTTCTTTAGGAGTCCATAGAGGCTACTGTATTATTTTGAAGAAGATGTCTAACAGTAACACTACTCAAGAGACCCTGGAAATAATGAAAGAATCAGAAAAAAAACTGGTGGAAGAATCGGTAAATAAAAACAAGTTTATATCTAAGACTCCAAGTAAGGAAGAAACTGAGAAAGAGAGTGAAGATACTGGTTTGCGTCAGGAGACACAGGTAAGGATTAGAAGTGCATCATATGCACACTCATTATACCTGAATAGAAATGTCATCATAATTGGCATTGGGAATCTGTAAGAAGCCAGTCACTTGATTCTCCCTAAAAGCCCAGTTTTCAGCTTTCAAGAACTATCTCCTTCCCTTTTTGTCATAGAGTCCCTAGTGAAGTATAGAGAAGATAGTAATTTCCTAATCCATTTGGACCTTGCTACGTTTGATGTTTTTTAACTATCAAAAAATGAACTGTATACAAACACATATTTAACAAGTCATAATATGGCTCATACAATAAATTCTTAAAACTTCAGCTGCCTGGCTTTACACACGGTGTTAAATTCATATCGTGGTTGTGTTAAAGCAGTCAGCATTTTCTGGGTCAGAAATAATCTCTGAACTTGCCACTGGGTAAGTGAGTGAGAGGAATTTCACTCTTTGGTTGCCATGTTGTTTTCCATCCAAATTCATAGTGCAGTGCAGGTTTGATGGCAGTAGGTGGCCAGGCGAGCTTCCTCCAGAGCTCCTCTTTGGTACCCAGGCAGCTCATACTCTGAGCCTCCTCTGGTTTACCTGTTCCGGTCCCTCTCTTCTCTGTGGTCACTGCTAGTGTCCTCTGTTACCCAGACCCAAATTATGTAAATCCTTTCCTTCATGCCCAAGGGTTAGTTAGACTGGTCATTCTTACATGCTTAGGAGATAGACTAACCATAGTAAGTTAGTTTAAAAAGCAGTGGCAGCAGCATTTTTTTTTTAAAGATTTTATTTATTTATTTGACAGAGAGAGACACAGTGAGAGAGGGAACACAAGCAGGGGGAGTGGGAGAGGGAGAAGCAGGCTTCCCGCAGAGCAGGGAGCCCGATGCGGGGCTCGATCCCAGGACCCCGGGATCATGACCTGAGCCGAAGGCAGACGCTTAACGACTGAGCCACCCAGGTGCCCCGGCGGCAGCATTTTTGAGGGTTTAGAAAGTTGAAGCATCATTTCTCCTGACAGCCCAATTCATCTAGGCCTTTTCTTCTTAAAAGATTAAAACAGCAACAACATAAAGGGACAAATTAAAATCAGACAGCTCTCTGAAATATTTTGTTCTCTGGCTGCCTGCTTTTCTACTGTCTTTCCTCTTACAGTTTGCCAGATCTCTGTACTGGCTGCTTTTCTTTCCATTATCCTTTGCATGTGAGTTGTCATTCTTCGCCCCTTCTTCTAGAGTTTGTAGAGACAGTCTGCTACTGTTCCAGCTATACTTCAGCCTCGACTGATACCAATAATGAATTTTAAATCCTCAGGACAGATTAAGTGATGAATGTTTAATTATGTGCTGTCATGTTATATGGAAGATGATAAATGAACTTTTGGGTCCAAGTTGTTCTCAGGAGACTATTTGAAGTGGTGTTCTAAACTCCTGTTGGGTGTGTAGTCCTTGAAGTTAAGGAGAAAAGACAGGATGTATATAGGTGTTATACATCCTACGGACACTCAGTTCAAGAGTGTCTTCACCTGTCTATACAAATAGGTCGTGTGGGAGATTGGAAGGGGAGCCTGCCTCTGACTTTTTGCGGCTTCTAGAGCAGGGGAAGCTGCTGCTGCCATCTACTGGAGCTCCTGCTCCTTCTACAAAGTCTTTAATAGTGTCCCACCCTTCAGAAGCCCTCTCCGCTCCACCGTTTCCCAACAGATCATGTGCCCCTTCAACAACACTAAACATTCTGCTCTTTCTCCTACCTTCCCCCCCTCGCCAACTCATACCCTGGAAGTCTCCCTGGGGATCTTACTGATGCTGTCAAGGGAGGGCTTGTTATGAATTGGAGCTGGAAAGTTTGCAGAAAGGGGACTTTCCTTACTTACACTATGTGAGACATATTCTTAGCATCAGCAATTAGAACTCAGAACATCTTTCACATGGAAACAGTACTATAAAAGGCAGGTTCTGAGATTCAGTTTAGGATGGGCAAATTAACCCTGACCTACTGAACTTAGGGGGGGTCCTTCAACCAACCCATACCAATTGGGTATGACCTCCTAGCTGGGCTTTCTGCCTTTAAACTTGTGATCCTTTTGGATTCATCTTCCATACTGCTTTAGAAATATGGCCATGAAATAAAGATCTGATTACGTTCATTCTCTTCAAACTTGCTGTGTGTCTCCATTGTCCTAGGCTAAGACCCAGATTTGTCAGCATGACATATTGTGACCTAGTCCCTTGCCTGCCAGTCATCCGCCTCTGGCATCCTGTGCTTCAGCATTATCTGATTCCTTGGTGCTTTTTACAAATAAGAGCTGAAAAGTTTGGAGAAAGCATGCTTTTGTACATGCTTTCTCTGCCTAGAGTGCCTTCCTTGGTATTCTTTCCTTGGCTTCCCCCAACCCCTGAACCTCCCTTGTCAACATCTGCCTGATACCTGTTTATCCTTCAAAACTCAGTTCAGATGTATCTTTCTCTAGGAAGCCTTCCTTGACAACCTTACTCACCCATTGCAGGTCTAGCCTGTATAATTCTTCGAGTAATGTCTGTCTCTGTCTCCACAGAATTATAAGCTCAGTGAGGCCCAGGATTTAGGTCAGTTTGGGTTCACCATTGTATCTCGAAAGCCCGACGCAGTTCTTTGCAGGCACTCAGTATCTGTGAATGTATGAGTTTGTGAGTTGCTGGTCTGGGTTAGACACTTGGGCTGTGTGCTCCTGTAGCACTGCATGGCTACTTCTGTAATGCACTTAACATACTGTATTGTAGTTGTCTATTTGTCTGTCTTCTCCAACAGGATTATGAGTCCCTTTTGGACAAGGTGTTTTTTAATCTCTGTATTCTCCAGTAGTTAGCATGGTGCCTGGTATATATTAGACTTTCAGTATGTGTTTGACTATTACATGAAAACTATCCATTCTGGGAAATAAGCAGATTCATAAATTGCTTGTAGGGCTATAAATTGGTGTAACCTCTTTGAAGGGCAATTTGGCAATAATTTCATTAAAAATTAAAAATTTTTTAATGGACTACAGATAAACTGTATTTGTAGATATACTTAATGATATGGTCATTGAGGCATTGTTTATACTAACAAAAGATCAGACACATCCTAAATGATAGAGTTTAAGGGACTGGTAAAATAAATTATAGTACAGCCAGAGTAGAATACCATATTAGACATTACGAAAAACGGTAGATCTTCTGTAGAATAATATCCATGAAAAAAAGTTTAAAGGCAGGGTGTGTACAATATACGTCTATTTGTTTTTTTTTTTTTTAAGATTTATTTATTTATTTGAGAGAGAGAGAGCACAAGCAGGGGGGAGGAGCAGACTCCCCACTGAGCAGAGAGCCCGACCTGGGGCTCGATCCCAGGATACTGAGATCATGACCTGAACTGAAGGCAGATGCTTAACTGACTGAGCCACCCAGGCACCCCCATCTGTTTGGTTTTTTTAAAAAAGAAAAAAAAAACAAACAAAAAACCCTGAATGTACATATGTACAATAAGCTTATATATATTCATAAAAGATCTATGGAAAGATTATAAGAAAGTCAGTACTACTTGATCCTCTAGGAGAGAACCAGGTAACTGGGGGACAGATATGAAAGGAGACTTTGTGTTGTATGTACCCCCATTACACCTCCTGAATGTTTGTGTTCTGTGTATGTTACTACCTTTTTGAAAAAACAGTGACAAATACTGTTTCATATTCCCAGACTATGGCCCTTCCTTACTCTAACATCTCTTACATTGATTGACCAGATCCATTGTCATTTCTCACTCTTTTCATCCACCTTCCCAGTTCTCCATTTTGCATTGTGGTGGTGGTGTTTGGTAACTAGTGAAGAGGACAAAGGAAAGAGAAACCCTACTCAGGACCATGCTGGTACTCTGCTTCTGTCTTGTTTCCCCTTCCCCACCCACCAACCTCAGTTCTCTCCCCACCCTAGTGGGCAGTGAGTTCCATTCCAGACATCTGAGAAGCCCCAGATGCTTCCTCCCATCCAAAACCCTACCCCACTTCTTCCCCAAAGCCCCCATTTTGACTTCTCAGCTGTTCAGAAATCCTATCAGTGAATTAGTTGTTTCTTCCCTCATCTTACCACAGGCCTTCATTCTTCATCTTCTTCAGCTTCTATTCTGCTCCTTACCCTCTCTTTCTACCCTCCCCTCGCTCTGGAAGTCTTGTCCATATCTTCCACGCTCCCTTATTTTTATCCTGTCCCAGACAGGCTATAAGAGCCACGACCAGGAGCTTAGAACTGGAAGGATTCTCATCTTCAGGGAAGGAGGCAGTTGGCAAGAAGAGTCTTCATTCCATACCAGCAGCCACAGGGACAGGTGCTTTGGGTCTCTCAAGTTAGAACTCTGAACATGTTATCCTATAAAGATGTTATTATAAGTGATGATTAAGGGCCATATTGCATGTACATTATGGGTTAAATAGGCTTCTGTGATCATGCTTGGGTAAAAACACTCTGTCATGCTATGGTAGTGACATTTCCAGAAGCCGCCTAATCAGGAGAGGATTCCATGGTCTATCCAAAAGTAATTTTTATTAACCGCTGAAGTAGGCCAACCAGTCAGTGTCTTCCTATTCATTTTCTTCACAGTAAGTGGTGATTTGTATGTAGGTGGCCTTTGGTCCCTTCTGTGTCACAGTTACTAGAGTTGTAGCAAAGGGGAGACAATCACACCAAGTGGGTCTCATCATAGTTTATCTATTGTAATGGTTTTACAGTTAGTGTTTTTTCTTTGTAAACTTGTATTGTTTTTAACCTAAATGTTGATTTTCTACACCTTTAATATTTTCTAATCCCCTTCTAACAGAGGCGGACATCCAACCATGGTCATGCCAGGAAAAGAGCCAAGGTGAGAGCCCTTTCTATACACAGTAGTCCCCCACACTTATCTGAGGTTTCGCTTTCCATGGTTTCACTTACTCCTAGTCAGCCACAGTCCAGGGGCGGATGATCCTCCTTTTGACATATCGTCAGATCAGTAGTAGCCTAACGCTACTTCACAGTGCCTACATCGTTCACCTCACTTCACCTCATCATGTAGGCATTTAATCATCTCACATCATCCCAAGAAGAAAAGGGAGTACAGTGCATTAAGATATTCTGAGAGAGAGAGACCACATTTATATAAGTTTTATTACAGTATTATTAACTGTTCTTTTTATTGTTACTGTTGTTAATCTCTTACTGTGCTTAATTTATAAATTAAACTTTATCTTATGTATGTATGTATAGGAAAAAACATAGTACATATAGGGTTTGGTACTATCCATAGTTTAAGGCAGGGCATCTACTGGGGGTCCTGGAAAGTATCCCGGGGGATAAGAGGGGACTACTATACCTTCTTTTCTACTGTTACTACTAATGTGTTTCACAAATGGACTTATCACTAATATCTAATTTATTTGGATTATATACAAGCAGATTTTTCTGCCTGCCCTTTATGCTCTAATTGTGAATGTATGCACACACACACATTTCCTATTAGAAGGTTTGGCTGTATTTTTCTCTACTATCTCTAGTTCAGTCACAGTCTATTTCTGATACCCAGCCAGAGCCTCTCACAAAGCCTGAGCAAATTGGTACTGGTTCTGCTGTAAAGCCCGATTCTCTGTTCACTTCTGGTTTCTCTAGGAGTACTATATGAGTGTTTTCTTTTCCTCCAACATTTTTTTCTCATTTATCCTTTATAAATCCTGCCCCATTAGTAGAAATGACTCAACACTTTTGGACATCCTAAAAATAAAGCCTTTTTTGGTGGTGGTGGGGTTACTTTTTAGGGGCAGGGAGGAGGAGGAGGATTTTGTTTTTAATCATTTTATGATAAAATTAGCACATCACAGATTATTTTAAGCAGTGTTATCAGGGAGGACTATATGTGTTAGTGTGTGATGGTTTTTTAATTTTAGTTGGGGGAACAGTAAAATATTAAGCCTTTCTTGCAGTGAGAACAGTTGTCACCAGAGTAATTATTAAGGGTGTCTACCCCATTCCCCCCAAAAGACAATGGCAGAATTTGGGGGTGGCTCAGCCAGTATATGGCCTGGGTTTGAAGAAGACCACAACATCAGATAAATTGACTCTGTGTCTTGCCTGACATGGCCTAATCCTCGGTGATGGGCTTGATGTTAAAGTTCACAACAGAGGGTGTTCACTTCTATTTCACTTCCACCCAAACTTTCTGAGATAATAGACAGTTATTGTGTCCATTTTACAGATGAGGAAACTTGGGTTTATAGAGACGGAGTGAACTTGACATGATATTCACTAGTAAGTGGCAGGGCTCCACAGGAAGTCAGTTCTTCAGACTTGCGAGTTCTTTTTACTATACTGCTCGACCAGGAACACATGCCATGTTTTATGCTGTTGTATTCACGGCAAATCTTGATTTTATTATAAGAACTCTTAGTAAATGTTTATAGGTAGATTTCTATAATTTTTGGCTTTGGGGATCCCTAGGAGAGCAATGATTTGCAAAGTGGATTTCAGATTTTTTTGGTATTCTGCAGCCAGCAAAAGTAAACCAAGTGTATTAGCTTCTTTTCACACTAAATCCCAAATGTTAGGAAGTTTTCTTTCTCTTTACTCTTTTCTTAGACACTTCTTTCCATACTCTTGCCACCTCAGGTTTAGAGTCATTTAGCATTTATTGTCTACTGTGCTCTAGGCACTATTTATGATATGTATGTTTATATTCTTTATGTCACCTAATTCTCACAAGTCATCCTGTAAGTGTTTTTGTCCCCATTTTATTGAGGAAAAACAGAGACCCAGAGAGGTCAGGTAATTTGCTCACGGTCTCTCATAGCTCATGAGCACAAAAGCAGGAGTTGAAGCTAGGACTTCTGGCTCTTAAATCCAGTGTCTACTAAGCTCTGCAACTGTGAATTTTCAGTAAACTTCTGGGTCTGCAATTGGAACATGGGCTAGAGAAAGGGGGAAGAGCTAAATGAAGTGGTTTTCCTGTCATCTGTTCAAAGTAGCCATTTTGTTTTTATCTTTACTAATGTAAGTAGGGAAATTATCTTTGAAGTAAATCAGGAACTGGTGAGTAAGTCCTCTTTGGGGGAAAAAAAAGAACACAAAAACCCTACTTAATGGAAGCAGCAACTAACAGAGCCAAAGAGGATACCCTTCATTCAGCGAAAAGCAGCTTTCTGAATGTCCACCAAGGGAATGTATATATTTGTGCTTTTTTTTTTCAGTCTAATTCCAAGCTGAAGTTGGTGCGCAGCCTGGCAGTGTGTGAGGAGTCCTCTGCCCCATTTGCTGATGGGCCACTAGAAACCCAGGTAGGTCCTTTATCAGAGTAGTATAACATTTGAGTTCGGCTAACCCTAACCCTAACCCTAACAACCACAGCATCAACATTAGGCTTGGAAATCAGGGTAGAAGGAACTTCAAAACAAGTGGTTGCAGTAAAGCAGGGCATGGGTGAAAGCATGAAGTATAGGTCTTCACACCTGGACCACCCGGGATGATGCAGACAAGGAGAGCCCAGGGCTGAATCTTGTTTTCCCACCCACACTTCCCACTGGCGGTTAGAACCATTTCCATCCAGTTCCTATGCCAAGAACAGCCAGTGTAACTTGAGCTCTCCATATAGTGGTTGTGATTGTTGGCAGAAAAGGCTTGGCCTTCTACCCTTTTGGTAGAACAAAAGCTTAAACAATTTAATTAACAAAATACTCTCTTCTTGGGGCACCTGGGTGGCTCAGTCGTTAATCATCTGCCTTCGGCTGAGGTCATGATCCCAGGGTCCTGGGATCGAGCCCCGTGTTGGGCTCCCTGCTCCACGGGAAGCCTGCTTCTCCCTCTCCCACTCCCCCTGCTTGTGTTCCCTCTCTTGCTTTGTCTCTGTCAAATAAAATCTTTTTTTTTTTTTTAAGATTTTATTTATTTATTCGAGAGAGAGAGAATGAGAGATAGAGAGCACGAGAGGGAAGAGGGTCAGAGGGAGAAGCAGACTCCCTGCTGAGCAGGGAGCCCGATGCGGGACTCGATCCCGGGACTCCAGGATCATGACCTGAGCCGAAGGCAGTTGCTTAACCAGCTGAGCCACCCAGGCGCCCCTCAAATAAAATCTTTAAAAAAAAAATACTCTATTCTGTAAGAGAATCCTGCCACTCAAGATTTCCCTTCTTTGAGATTTCGAGGGAGAGTAAAATTCTGTGGGAGAATTAAAATCCCCTTTCCCCTTTGATTGTGTTCCTCTTTCCCCTTTGATTGTGTTCCTCCTTCCCCTTATCCAAGGATATAATTCAGTTGCACATCAGCTGCCCCTCTGACAAGGAGGAAGAAAAATCCACAAAGGATGTCTCTGAAAAGGAAGACAAGGACAAAAACAAAGAAAAGGTCCCAAGGAAGATGCTTTCTAGAGGTGAGAACTTTCCCCACCTCTCATGTGTCCTGGGGTCTGGCTCTACAGTGCCCTTTCCTTCCATCTTGGAGCCTGGCACCCACTGACCGTACTGGATCAACAGTTTGTAGTGTGCTGCTGACTTCATGGTTGCTTGGGGAGGTGCCTGACTAGGTTACTTTGTTTGATGCTTTAGCTAATCCTGCCTCAGAGGCTCAGATGCTGCAGAGAGCTATTCAGTTAACATTGGCACTACCTATAAAAGGACATTGTAGTTAATTCTGATTTTATTTCTGCTCTGGAATAAGTAGTGACATGAATCACCACTAGTAGCAGATCCTCCATATACCATTTATATTTTGGTTTTGGGATGCTGGGAGTGATTTTTTTAAATCAGATTTGCATCTACTTATTAAGTTCTCCTTGGTTTTAAACTCTTGGGCTGGTAGCAAAAAGACCTGGTCAATAAAAATTATAGTTGAGAGGAAAAAAGGCAACCTTGGGATTAAGATTTTATAAATCAATAATAAATAATCAACATTTGAACCTGTTTGCTGAGATTCTCGAAAATTCAGTTCCTACTGCTCTTACCTGGAATTTATTTTCCTTAACTTGAATAAAATCTGCTTTGCTTTGGTCAGGACATTCAGCAAATACTTAATTATGGTAAGGTAGCTTCTCAGTGTAATACAGCACTATGACCCAGATTCTACCTTCCATCACTGTCATGGGGAATCTGGCAGGGGAAAGGGACCTGGCAAATCACGTGTCATTCTGGTTTTTAAGCTAAAACCCCTCAAGTTTGATTTTACTTTGCTGTGATCTCTCCTGATTGGGTTGTGGGTTTCTGCTTGGGATTAGATTTCATGCAAGGCAGTTTCATTTATTTTAAATTTCTTTTGTTGTGTTGGTTCTAGACTCCAGCCAAGAATATACAGACTCCACTGGAATAGACCTACATGAATTTCTTGTAAATACACTGAAAAAGAACCCAAGGTAAAAACATTATTTGATGGAAGGGGGATAGGAGGGCCCAGCAGGATACCTAAAAGGACAAGTAGTTTCTCAGGATTTTTCCATTATTCAAATCTATGATGCCCACCCCCGACCACTATTTCCCTCTAGTGTAGTTTTATATTCTGTGAGGGATTCAGAGTACCTTCTTGTTGAGGTGTCTGCTTTCAGAAGAGCTAAGAAAAATCTATGGAAGGAGAATGCAGAGACAAATATGAAGTCTTGGGAGTACCATTTAAAAGCATAGAAGGAAAAATAATTGTTATATACATAAGCTAAATCATAATTGTTTTAAAATTGTATAAATAACCAGATGGAATGTACTGATTAGATTTATTATAAGTATAAAGTATGTTTTTAAATGAATATGGCTGCCAACAGAATTAGGTTTCTGATAAGGAAAACAAAGTAAATGATTAGGAGCTAATCCTGCCTTAGAGGCAAAATGTGTACTTGATTGTTCTTCTTTTTTAAAGTAATGCAAAATGTATACTTGATTGTTTTTCTTTTTTAAAGTAATGTAAGACAGGCCAGTGAGGCTCAGCAGCCTTTGTGTTTTTGTCCGCTATTGGGGTTTGGATCTGTCCCCCCCTTCAGCTTCTGTAGTGTGCAGGTTTCAATGCTTTTAATGTCTATGGGAGGGCTGCTTTTTGTTTTGTTTTGTTTTAATCTTTTTTAAACAGGGACAGAATGATGCTGCTAAAATTAGAACAGGAGATTCTGGAATTTATTAATGACAACAAGTAAGTTACTTGAATGAAATACACATTTAGAGGTGGGAGGGGGCACTGAAAAGAAATTCAGGTACAATTTTAGGATATTCCTCTTATTTCCCTTAAAGTCTGAATTTTGAAGTAGTTACTCACTGGGAACCAAAAGGAGTTGAGAAATGATCAGAATGTATTAAAAAGTATATGTGACGAAGTGAGGTTTTTAAGTTATTGCATAGACTGGAGTTGAAAAGAATTGATATCTTTTTAGCAGCTAGCTAGCCCTTGTCCCATATTTAGTTATTCTTAAATTTCTCCCTTTTTTCTTTGTAGAATATCATCCAGGTGGGGGAGACCTAGAGCTTAAGGAATAGTCTTAAATGAGGGTAGTGCATCAGAGTGATCTACAAAATGCTATAGATAAAGAAGCTGAGAGAACCTTTTTGGTTCCCATTTGAGTAAGGATCTGTCTTCCTTATAACATGTCTGTTTCTCCTAAGAAACTCTCCACTTTAGACACTTATAAGAAAAATTACAATTGGCTATTATTGCTGTTGTTTGTCCTTATTTCACTTTTTCCCCTGCTTTCCCTTCAGTAACCAGTTCAAGAAGTTCCCTCAGATGACCTCATATCACCGGATGCTATTACACCGGGTAGCTGCCTATTTTGGGATGGACCACAATGTTGATCAAACTGGAAAAGCTGTCATCATCAACAAAACCAGTAACACAAGAATGTAAGGGAGGAAATCAGAGATTGGGAGACTTCCCTGGGATAGCCTATGGGGTGAAGAGGAAGGTGTAGGATCAAGATACCCCTTTCTGGGGAGGAGACAGTATGGAGGGTTATGTTATCAATTCCTATGCTTCGTGAGGACTTGGAGATAGATTTTAGAGGCACTGGTGTTTTGTGAAGACTAGCCCCTGGCGTCTCTTCACCTTTACTGATGGGACAGGTATAACTTTAGAAGAAGACAACTTATATGTGTATGCATAAAGAATAGACCTTGAGGATTTCATTGTGACTTTTTGGATGCCTGACTCCAGAAATCCCCTGAAGGGAAATTGTGGAATTTAAGAGTGCTATATTAGGAGGTCTGCTTCCTAACAAAAGCGTCTTTTTCCTTCCTTCCTTCTACATTTCTCTCCCAACCCCAGCCCTGAACAGAGATTCTCAGAACACATAAAGGATGAGAAGAATACAGAATTTCAACAGAGATTCATTCTCAAGAGAGATGATGCCAGTATGGACCGAGATGATAACCAGGTGAAGAATGGAAAGGGGTGGGCTTATACAGAGAGATTGCAGTAAGAGAAACTGGGAGGGGAGAAGAATTTTTGTGGGATAAAGAAAATTCAAAACATCTTAGTATGGAAAATTGCATTGAGTTATACTGAGTTGGCTTTGGCTTAATGTTGAGGACTGACTACACTTGTTGAACTGAATGCTGCCCTCCTAGCTCCAGAGAGACATGGTGCTGAGTTTTGCTGGGTTTTCTCATTTGGCCTAGAACTCCCTGGTTCTGCCACTGACTTCTAACTCATGTCATTTTGGGACAAAGCAAGGTCCCTCCCTGCTTCAGCCTTGATTCAGCTGACGGCTTCATTCTTTTTTTCTTTAATAGTTAGGAATTTCTTTGGGAACCACCAAAAGCTACTTTATCCCACTTCTGTCTTATCCTAGCTCAGGGCTAGCCTTGGACTGGCAAAGTTGTGATGTAATATACCCACTTATAAAGATGTTTCTGATCCCTTTCTGCAAACTCCTTGTTCTTTTCCCAACTCCTTCTACCAAGGTGAGTGAGTTAATTTGACATTTGATGCTGGGAGTCTCAGGCAGTATCCCCTTTTTAATCCATTCCTGTGGGAATAAGAAGTGAACAGTCTGCCCCATCCTTCACTCATGGGCCTGGCTGTTGCCCTGACTTCTAGCCTGCCCTTCAGATAGTAAGTTTTTTTTTAGGGATTAGTTTTCCCAGCCACATACAGGGTTTAGATCCAGCCAGCTTCTGCTTGACCTCCAAAGGAGGTTAGGTGGAGAACCAGGATTAAGGTTTGAAGAACATCGTTGGGTAGAGCCAATATTAGTCTTGCTAATTAATGATAACTGTAATAATATCTTACCTCTAGAGTCAAAATTAGTTTTCTTGGGATATTGTATGGTCTTGAGACCAGGACTTTTCCTGCTTGCTACTTGAGTATTTGAGGGAGTCCTTTTGAGAAAAATGCCATTACCTTTTGTGGACAAACCACGCTGGGTTTGATTGAAAACAAACATACAAAAGACAAAATTTAAAAAAACAAGAAAGAGCCTTTCCATCCTGATGCCCTTCTCTCCATTTTCCTAAAACCCTTTTTCTGTGGATCAGGAATTATTCAGGCCTAGAGACACATTGGGGCGGAGTGGAATCTGTCCATATTATGAACTTTTCATCTCTCAGCTTCAGGCTCGATCCATAGTAGGGTAGGCTTTATGCATTTTGTGTCTATGATATTAATAATAAATACAGTAATTGTTATTTCTATTGAGTGTTTTCCCTGAACTAGATTCTGTTCTAAACACATTATGTGCATTATCTCTTTTAATCGTCTCCACAACCCGATGTAGGTGGGGTTATTAGCTCCACTTTAAATATAAGAAAACTGAGGCTAAGAGGTGTTAAGTTACTTGCCTGAAATAACTTTACTCAGAAGTGGAGAGCTGAGATTCTGCCTGGGACCTCAAAGCCCATTATGCTCTTGCTACTCTGTCACTGGCTCACCAGTGTTAGGGGCACTTGAGGTCCTACATCTTCTTGGAATGGGATTTATAAATGGACATTTAGTAGGATTTAGGTTCTTAAGTCTAGTGAGAATTAAATCTAGTCAAAAGTTGATACTCCTGAAGTTATGCCTGCCTCTGGTGAGGGTCAGGAAGAGCAGCTTAGAGCAGCTTAGAGCCCAGCCTCCGTGGCTGCTTCATCGGAAGCTTTCAGAGCCTCTGGGTTGAAGGTCGGAATCTTTCATACCTGATGACATTCATTTGACGGGCTATCTCCCTCAGAGCATCTTGCCTTCAAGAGCAGTATGGAAAAGGACACTGTGTACACCCTACCCGGGACGGTGCTCACAACTCACAGGCCAAGAGAGAAAAACCATGATGGACAGTGGGGCGGTAGGCTAGCCAGAGGTGGTGATCTGCCCAGCTGTCCCTCGTCACCTCTCTATAGTTTTCAGAGAATTTAAGGTTCTCTATCCTGCATTTCCTTCTTTTCCCTTTCTATCACTCTCTCTCTCTCCTCCTTCCACCATACCTTAATTTGTCTCTTCCTTTCCCTGTCCATCCTTCTTTCTGTTCTATTCTCCTTTTCTTTCTCTTTTCCTCTTTGTGTTGTTCTGTTCTCTTTCTTCTCTATTTCTGTAATTTCTATCTCTTTCCCTCCCTCCAAAGGCTGAAGTTACAATGAGAAAAAGTGCTTAAGCTTTTAGGTTAGCTTCACTTGGATTTCATTCCCAAGGCCCTCTTCGCTGAGCTGTGTGTGACTTGGGTCTTCAGGCCATGGCATTAGTGAGTAAAGAAGGGATAATATCAGGTGCTAGTTCGGTAAAACTCTTCTCTAAATTCAGCTCTGCTAAATACTTGTTTCTTCTCCCTCTCTAGCTTCCTCCTATCCCTTTCTTTCCCTCCAAAGCAATGTTGTTTATTCCCTGGGCTATTCTCTTGATCCTTAGTATCTGATTACTATAAGGAAGCAACCCAATCCTTATAAATAGTTGTTCTTGACACACTGGGTGGGGGAGGGGAGATGAAGAGGTTCCAATCATCCAGAAAACCTGATCTCCCAAACTGCATGGTCAGATGTACCCAGTGAAACCTGTCCGACACTGGAAATTTTATTTCTTTTTTTTTTTCCATTTTTTTGATGGCAACTATAAACTCTCCCGGTTTCTCTTCCTTGCTGGTGTGCAGTGAGCTTGCAGTACGAGGAGAACTTAACTAGCTTAATTCTGCTCATCGATCTAGATCAGAGTTCCATTGCAGGATGGAAGGAGGAGCAAGTCAATAGAAGAGAGAGAGGAGGAATATCAAAGGGTCCGAGAGAGAATATTTGCCCGAGAGGTAAGTGTAGCTTCTGAGAGTTGTCAGCCCATAGCTTTTAGCTCTTAATCTTTGGAACTGTGATTGGAATGAACCCTCCATAAATGTTTTGTTGTTGTCTTTTTTTAACCAACATCAGCCAGCCCCAGTTTGGTCTCTCAAATTAAATGTGGCTAACTGGGAAGCTGCAGATTTTTATTTGTATTATTTTTAATACATTTTGCTGTATGGCATACAAAGAGAACAAATGGAATGGCTGAATTTGGTAGATATGATTAGACTGAAAATAGAAATGGTTTTGGCAGGGCTTATGGAAGGGCCCTGACTCTTGCCTGTCAATCCCTTTTCCCATTTACCCTCTTTCACTTCCACTATCCATTTTAGGCATCTTTGCTTCTAAGTGGAAGACTTAGTGTCCACACAGCCTATATACATCAATCTTGTTTGGCCAGCCTCGTTTTTAGGATATGTTGGTGGTTGTTAGAGCACAGGTCTGGCATCCATTCTCTGAGATCCACATTCCACATGCACAGAGGGTACCACTTACTATTCCCTCCAGTCTCTATCTGAACAGGAAGTCTCTTTCTTCCTATATTTCCTACCTTGCTTCTTAGAATAGGATGGACTCTGTGGGCCAAAAGGAAACATCATTTTAGGCAACTTTATTCTTAAGAATTGTGGGCCATATTAAATATACTTGGTACCCCTGTATTTGGTGGCCTTTGCCTAACAAGACTAAAGAGAAGTATAGCAGAAATTCAGGAAAGGCTGTAGATAAGCAAGAGAGGAATAGATCTCCGGAAAAATGTAGGATCTGGATAGCAGCACTATCTTACAGTCAAATTAACAAACAAAGGAAAAAGAGCCAGCCTCCCTTTGTAGTCAAAAGATGGCCAGTTCTAATCAGTATACTTTGATGAACACTACTCTCCTCTCATTTCCCCACTCTCCCCTCCATCAGCAAGACAAAAAACACATTTCTCTTTCCATCATCACCTAGTTCAGAAAAATATTATCTCTGACTTCAAGAAAACTGAACTCCTCTATGAACTTCTTCCACTGTCTCAGGAGACCCAGGTGTTCCAAGGATCCTCCTTGGGGACAGATACACAACAAACCTCCTGGCCCAAAGTCCAAGGAGAAGGAATCGTCTTAGCTTCTGTTATATAGACTGCGATTCTGAGTCAGAAAAAAATCTGTCCTCCAAATTATCCAACCATAGCCCAAAGAGGGTTCTCTGCCTTTACCTGCAAACCGGTTGGGTGGAATGAGAGGAGAGAGGTCACTTGTACATGACTGTGGCCAGCAATGACCTTAAGTTGTGGACAGAGCAGGTTGGTGGGTGATAATAACAAACATTTATATACTACTTACTATCTTTCAGACACTGTTCTTAGCATTTTGCATAAATTATTTAATCCTCACACTAGGTCTATGAGGTAGGTTGTGATATTTTCCTCATTTTAGAAATGAGGGACTGAGGCATAGAAAGGTTAAGTAATCTTAGGTTGATACTTGAACTCAAGCAAAGGAGTCTGGCTCCAGAGACCATGCTCTTGACCCCTAAAGTAAACCACCTCTCCATAGCTTGCTCTGCTCTGGGCTCTTGAGATTAGGAAGTACCAGTGACATCATAGCTTAGCTCTCTGTGACATGCTACTCTGCTTCACTCACGCATGGTGAATGACTGTCCCACTGTGCCCGCCATTCTCGAAGCCATGGGTACTCTGAAAGCCCAAGTAACTTATAATAAGGTGTTGCGGCTAATTAGGAACAACACTGGAACATATCTGTTTACAGCTGTAACAAAATCCCAGTTAGCTCTTCTCTCCTTTTTTCTCCTGATTTCTAGTCTCTCAAGCCTCTACTAATATATGTATTCTTTGTTAAATCCTTGCGGATTTACCACTTTTCATTTCAGCACTTCCTAACTCTTGCTGTGTTAGAGGCATCAGGAATCTCAGAAGATCTAGACAAGGAAATATGGCCAAAGCCCACCAAAATCCAGAGATTCCAGTGTGGAGAGGAAGCTGGCCAGGCAGAGGGAGCTGGTGAAGGGTGGAACTGTAGGTTGGGGCGGACGGGAAGAAGAGGCAGGCCAACAAGAAAGGGAAGTGGCAAGAAGGGTGTTTGGATGGAAATGCTGCCACCTCAGCCTTCTCTGGAGCCTGAGCTGCCCCACGTAGGCTCTGCTCCTTGTGGAGCCCACTCTGCTCAGCAGCTGGACACTCCGGGGGCCTTTTTCTAAGGCTTGGGAGTGCATCATAATGCTCACTTCACTCAGCTCAGTGGCTTTGTCAGGAAATGATCCCCCAAAAGGATTGTTTTGGGCTTTTAATTCTTTCCTTTTTTCTAGGCTCCGAAAAGTACCTGCTTCCCCAATTTCTTACTCTCCTTGGGTCTCAGGTCAGGTCAGAATGTCTTTCATTTTGGCCAGTGTGGAGGATAGAAATGGAAGAGTCACTGAGGATGACTTCCAAAAAAACTAAATTTCTTTCTCTTGTCTCCCTTTGCCCTTCCCTTGATCATACTCTGTAGGACTAAGCACAGCAATTATTATGCTCAGCTTACCTCTAGAGAGAATAAATTTAGGACTAAAAAGGAAATAATAGGTTAAAACTTTTCCTCTTCCTCCTTTCCATATCAGCGTCTCTTTTTAAACACTCTGTGGGAAGGCTAAAAACACTGAATGCTCTTTCCCACTAAAGGTGAGAGGTCAGATTGGGTGTGTGGGTGTGGGTCATCCTGTCCCTGCTCCCTCTCTCCTGTTGGGGGGTGAGCTTGGTTTGAGGACCTTGGGTATTCATAGCATCACGGACACCCTTTTCGGTTATGCCATGCTGTTTTCTTATAAGTTATTTTCCGTTTTCTCCCCTTCACCTAGACTGGCCAGAACGGATATCTAAATGACATCAGGTTAGTACCACTTAGCATGTTCCCTGCTTCTCATTGAGCTTTGTCAGTGAGGTTAATATAATCCTGTAATGATGCTTTTCTTTGATGTTAACCAACAGACTCTCCAAAGAAGCCTTTTCTTCTAGCTCTCACAAGAGAAGGCAGATTTTTAGGTACCTCTGTGTGATCTATATCTCTCCTTGTTTTTGTTTTTTATTTTATTTTGCTGTAATCTTTTCAGCGGAGTAAGTTTGCTCCATGCATGGCTGCTTGTGGAATAATTCAACTTGTGGTTTTTGCAACATTGGATATTTTTCCCCATTAAAAGAGAAATGGCTCCTGCTCACTGACTTTATTTTTGTTGTTGCTGATTTCATTTTAAGTCGTGGATAGGTGGTGAAGGGGACCAGATAGGTGTGTCTGGGATAGGTACTGCTCCTTTCCAAAAGTTTGCTGGAATTGGGCATTTGGGGAGGATTTCAACATGTATTTATATCAAGGTAAAAGAATGGGTATCTTCTGGCTACCTTTTCTGAATCTATGAAAGATGTGAAGAGCTTATCCCTGACCCAGCGTAGGGAATGTTTTATATCTTTAAGAAAGAATAGTACAGGGGCGCCTGGGTGGCTCAGTTGTTAAGCGTCTGCCTTTGGCTCAGGTCATGATCCCGGGGTCCTGGGATTGAGCCCCACATCGGGCTCCCTGCTCCGCGGGAAGCCTGCTTCTCCCTCTCCCACTCCCCCTGCTTGTGTTCCCTCTCTCACTCCCTCACTCTGTCAAATAAATAAATAAAAATCTTAAAGATAAAGAAAGAAAGAATAGTATGCACACACACATATAAAAACACAAACATCTCTGTCTATGTAGTTTTCTCTTTGGGACAATGTAATCTGTAAGATGGCCTCAGAAGAACACTTGTCTGCCTTAGCATGGACATAGAGCACGTCTTTTTTTTTTTTTTATGACTGTCCATGACTTGCTGTTGACATGGGTGAAAGCTGCTATATTAACTTCTTCGGGCCTAATATTCTCCATGTTCCACAAAGCAGTCGCGAGAATCTCCCTTTCATTTGATTTTCTCAGTCCCACTCCAGAGGATTACAGAAGGCGGTGGTAAGAGAAGCACTTCATTAGGATCCTGTCTGGCACCAACTCATTTTAAGTACATTCTTCCCATTTTACCAATAGAAAAACTATGGAGTAGAGAAAACCTGAATATTCAATACTAGGATTCAGGTCCAACCCTTTCCAAACGGCTTATCTCTTTTTGAATCCTAAGCTTGATAGGAACTAATGAACTCAGATTAGTTAGAGCTCTCATTTCTAGTACCTCAGTCGTCCCTTCCCCCTGTGTCCTTTCTAAAGCTAGTCAAACCACATAGAAATTTGAGTTGCAAGATTTCTCATTCTTGGAATGGGGCATTACCTCCTTTTCCATATCTCTGAACTCTTTTTCCTAGACACCCTGAAGTCCATCTGAAAGCCCTTAGGCAGTGAGGGCTCTGCCCTGTTCATGATGATTGAGATAGAGTTCCCCTTTAAAAAAAAAAAAAAAATCCCTATTCCATATTATATAATTCAGGATCATAAATCATCCCAGAACCCTGTAATAAACGGTTTTAAACTAACTTCTATGCATATGCTAATGCACAGGGCTTTACGGTTGCCAAAGTATACTGTATCTGATTTAGATCTCTCAGTGTCCTGATTTAGTAAACTGGTTTACATGTAAGAAAACGAAAGCAGAGAAATTAAGTAACTAACCCAAGTTGACATGGCTATTAGTGGTAAAACTGGGACTGACTCTCTGTCTGGTGTTCTTTCACCGTACACCAGACCAGCTCTCTACAAACATCACCCCTTCCTCTCTGAGTATTCCATTCAAGCCCTCATTTATCGCATTCGCTGGTAAGAATGATGCCCATTAGTGCTGTGGAGCATCAAACTACATCAAACAGCTCCAAGGACCTAGTGAGCAGGTGCAACCCTCTCCTATCCAGACCTCCTTTTAAGCTGCTGCTTTCCATACTAAGTGTTGGTTATAGATCTAGATCATGTAAAATGCAGTACAATGGACCCTCAAGGGGGCAACTTCTTCTATTTGGGTACTAGTCCAGAATTCTAGTGATGAGAAGCTGGTCTTCTCTAACTGCTTTTTACCTTTCTTCCCAAGTGTGTGAAACAAATACTGATACACCACATTCCATCATCCACATTGGCAATAACTAGGGCAACTTCCCAGTTCTTTGGAAGATTCTACTCTATTGACAAATAAGCCATTACTGACATTTACCATTGCTTCTTACACAGGCCTGCCTACCCACTCCCCAGACCCAATAAACTGAACTTTTCACGAGCATAAATCTACTTGTGAAAGCTGAGTCAACTTTGATTTTATAGGAGTATAAAGTGTGAATGTTCTCTGTCCTGTACCCCCATCTCTCCAACACACATACATACCCCAGTCCAGTGCTTAGAACTGAGTCTCGGAGCTTTCCCTAGTTGCTATATGTTTAGTGAAGTGGAAAGATATGGCTAGAGATTAGGTTTAGTTGTAGAGAAGGAAAATTGATCTCTTTCCTGGCCAAGACTCAACTTAGATTCTTTAACTCTTGGGGGTGTAGTGTCCTAACTGAGGTTAGATCATCACACTAGCCACATTTTCAACACTTGGGCCATCACTGTCTTGGGGCAACCTAATGAGTACAGAAGGAGTACAGAAGCACTGCTACTTCGGCTCAAGCTTCCCAGGGTGTTTGGTTTAAAGTTGACTCATTCACTGTTTACCTCCGGTAGAAAGACAAAGTAAATGGCAAAACTGTCCTAATAGATAGTGCTGTGTTTGATTTAGGTGTAAAAGTCCATTAGGACTTGTAAAATTCAGGTTCTAATATCTAATGAGCAGCTTCATCCATTGCCACTGCTCTATCCTCTAACCCAGAAACAGACACATCTTTATTGAGTCCTCTCAGTAGACTTGCCTTTGGCCATTGAGTCAGAGCTCTTGGCTCTCACTTCAGGTCTGGTTCTGTTTCTGAAGAGTCCCTGATTTACATTTCTTTCTTTGTTTCCCATTCCAGTTTTGACATTCCCAAGAGAGAGGGATAAGGTTTTAGGGAGACAGGAATATTTTCCAGTTCTCTTAACTATAGAGAGAGAAGCACTGAGGTTATATATACATCTACTTGGGATTCCGAGAAGAATTAGCTGTCCCTAACCAGCTCTTCCGATTTGTTTGTTTTTAGCCCATTGTGTTTGGCTTGACTAAAAACTAAAATAGTGACCCTAGCTTTTATTTTGCCCATTTTCCCTACAGTAACCTTTGGAGCAGATATTCTCCAATAAAGAAAGGTATTTTCTTTAACGTTACCCTTGTAAGAAAACTACCTTTCTTTATTAGAATAACTCCGAGCCTAGTATCTTTGAAGCTAAGGGGATTGGGATGGGGTTTTCTATTTGCTTTAGGCAGGATGGTGGTGAAAAGGAGGGAGCCCAAGCTACTATGATTTTTGCTCACCTGCATCCCAGTATATATACCAAAATCTTTGTAATTATTGTCATTTAGTTTCTTTAGGTCAGTAGTTGTTGGGGGTGGGAGATATGAAAGGAGAATTCCTGGTTCTTGGTTGCTTATTGATTAAGAAGCAGTAAGGGCTCATTAAGACATAGGGGTTTTAGGTCAACCCCATCTATCTTAGGTACAACTGTTTATAATCATTAGGCAGTAATTACAGCATCAGGATAACCCTGATGTTTCCAGAGCAAAATAAGAGAGAAGTCCCTTTTCTCAATAGTTTTGTGCTTTGCCTAGGGCAATAGGGTTGTTAATATGGTGGCACTTAGGCACAGCCAGCCCCCTGCTCCTTGCCATCCTGGGTCCCAAGGGCATATTTGCTTGATCATGTTGAAGATTGTAGCCCTTAGAGACCCTGAAACCAGTTGTTCCCAGATACCAATGCAGAATTTCCATGAACAGGTTGGCTCAATTTCAGACTGTCAGACTGAGTTTTCCAGAGTGCCCCATTAACCTACTGTACTCCTCTTCCCACCTCTGGAAAAGTGGTACCTCTGCTGGCTTTGACACATGTTATGTGGAAGACCTATTATATTTATCCATGTCTTGGCTACCCCTGCCTTCCCACAATAGTAACTTCTAGGAGTCCTTTTGTTTTAAGAACTCCTAGAAGAGGGTGGTACCCCTCTGCTCCCCACTATCTCCTGCATGTGTGGGATCCCTGCGGGGGCAGGGGAAAAGACCACAGCCAATCTCAGCATCATGTATATGGTTTCCCGGCCACCTCTGGTCTGATGTATTGAATTAGTTGCCAGTGCACTGTCTTCCAGATTTGCCTCTGTGTTCCTTGTTACTGTACTGGATCTTGTTCTGTCTGCTCTCAGCAAGTCTTGGTTGGCCAGCCAACTAACAAGAAATCAGTGTCCATCCTCCTCCCAACCGTCACCCCTTCTTTGTTATTGAAAGAATAGAAATGAACTCTCTCCTAGCTCTTCTGCCGAAGTGGTAGGTGGGGGGTGCTCTGACCACTGTGGTCTCTGCAGGGGGAACCGTGAGGGGCTGAGCCGAACCTCAAGCAGCCGCCAGAGCAGCACAGACAGCGAACTCAAATCCCTGGAGCCACGGCCGTGGAGCAGCACAGACTCTGACGGCTCTGTCCGGAGCATGCGGCCCCCTGTCACCAAAGCCAGCAGCTTCAGTGGCATCTCTATCCTCACCCGAGGGGACAGCATCGGGAGCAGTAAAGGTGGCAGTGCAGGAAGGATCTCCAGGCCAGGTACTACAGCTTCTGTCCTTCAGTGTCATGCTCATCATTTCTTGCTTGTCTTCTGCAAAACGTCACTGATATTTACTTCTAACAAAACCTTGTCCCGGTATAGTGTCCTGGAAAACTAACATAGCTAGATGAGGAAAAATTTGATTTCTTGGATCCATTGTTCTTTTGAGTCCCCTCTCTGATTTTCTTTCAGACCTTCTTTTCTAATTGGAAATGAACAAACAAAAGATTGGGATTTATTTTATCTTATTTCTGAACAAGGTTAGGCATCCCTGTCAGCCCAAGTTCAAGTTATATACTAAGATAAGAATGATACTGCTTGCATTCTGTAACCTCTGAGATTGTAGAGGGTTGGTAGCGCAGAAGAAAGCCTTGGAGTTCAGCTGTTTATAATCACTTGGTAGCGACCAGTAAGCCAAAACCGCAAGAAATGCTATGGCTGCTTCTCTGGAGCCCAGTCACTGAGAAGGAGCCCTATGTTGCACGTGCCAGGCCTGTAACCACCGTTCAGCTCTTCTGACGTGCTGTGTAATTTCTCCGTTATTCCTGTTGCGCTCTTAGCCAGGGGTACTTGGCTCCTTATACCCAGTGGGCCTCTATTTCACCCTCCTTCCACCTCTAAAGAATTCTTGCCTCTCATCCCAGAAGTTCTGTAGGTCTTGTCCTCAGAAGACCTCAGTAGTCGTGAAGATTTTGCCTCCGGTAGGTCTCTGCTGCCCTTCTGTGTTACCTCTTCTCTAACCCCACTGCCTCTGCCTTTATCTGGGCCTTTGTGTTCTTTTATTTATGATACTAGTCCCCAAGCTGGTTTCCCTGCTTCATCCTCAGCCCTTTTTAGAGCCAGTTTATCAATCCAAAACATAGATCTAATCATGTCAATCCTCTCTTTAAAAATGTTCATGTTTCTGCATTCCCTGCATAATCTAATCCGAATGACTTAATGCAGCATTTCTTCCTGATCCCAGTTTGCTACTTCCGTCTTACTTGCAGATATCCTTCTTCTTCTTGCTCTCCAGCCATTGGTTGAATATGGTATTAACTTCATCCCCTCTTGGTCTGACAGGTCTTCTCTTCACCCTTTAAATCCATTTCTCCTCCCATTTCCTCTTTAAGTGAGTTACTGCTTCCTCAACCTTGCCGCCATACAACTTAGTTCATATCACTGATGCATCCCTTATCCTTACCAGATAGACTGTAATCGCTGTGTGCGTGTCCATCTCCTGTCTGAAGATCCTGTGCTACTTAATGGCAAGGACTGTGTTCTCTTCATCTTTGTGTTCTCGGTTCCTTATACAATGCCCGGCACATAACAGATAGTTAGTAAAAGTATTTTATGTGAATGCGTGCATGGCTTGGAGAGGCTGGAAATGGGGAGAAGAGTTGGGTGATAGTTGTGCTTATGTGTGTGCACAGCCAAGTGCTGGGAGAGGCAAGGTTGCCTTCTCAGCAACTTTTATGAAATGCTTCAAGTTGGAAAGAAATCAGAGAGAAGATAGGTCTCTTAAGGACTAGGAATCTGCACCTTCCCAGGAAGCAAACATTCATGTTTTCAGCTGTCTAGTCATGATGGACAGATTCTAGGCTCTTCAGAGGAGATGCCTTGACAGCCTCACATTTCGTTCCATTCTGAAATCCAACATCAACGGGCAAGGTATTTACTGTCCCTGGGGAGGAGAAACCTGCTAAGATGAAGACTCCCATCAGCAGGGCAGCTGAAATGCATCTGTGCTCATGCATGGATCTTCGCAAGACAGTGGGGGAATGGACAGAAGGGAAGTGAGGAGAAGCAGCAGGGAAGGAGTAGAGCCCTGCATCTCCAAGGGTGGCATGATCGTGGCTGGTGCTTACAACTCTTGGTGGGTCTCCTCTTTGCCTTAGGTATGGCACTAGGTGCCCCAGAAGTGTGCAACCAGGTCACCTCATCCCAGTCCGTCCGGGGCCTTCTCCCTTGTACTGGCCAGCAGCAGCCACAGCAGCCGCAGCTTCCTGCTCTCCCACCCACGCCTCAGCAACAGCCACCCTTGAATAATCACATGATCTCACAGGTGAGTCACCACTCAGTACCAGAGCCCCCTCTGCTCTGATTCAGGCGAGCTCTGGAAGTACAGTCATGTCTGTTGTGCTGTGGGTGGCAGGAAAGATCTGTTGGAGGCCTGCCATTCCCTCCTCCGTTTCTGGTTTGTAAGCTGTGGGAAGAGAGGTGTAAGGGCAAGGGTTTGGCCAAAGTGCTCTTAGAGTCAGCCTGGGGGCTTTTTGCTTTCTGTTTCTTCTTCCTGAGAACTGCCAGTGGAATCTTTTACCCCATTCCACACTTCTGCTGTACCTCATCTCCCTCGGTGTCCTGTGTAATTAGCGAGGAGATTTTGTTCGCTGTGTCCATATATGGAGCTTGAAGAGATCACAGCTCCCACCATAACTGACTGAATGTGTTCATGTGACTGTTGAGCCATAAACACATATTTATGAGTTGGGGTTTGAGGAAAGGAAATATGCTCAAGACCCCTGCCATACATATGCCATAAGGCACAAACCCCTCGATAGTTGTCTTTGTTTCCCGTGCCAGAAAAGAGCTCTTTCTCCTTGTGTTGCTGGACTGATAGAGGTTGATTCCAAGTAGGGTTTGGGTGAAGTTTTGTTTCTGTGGAGGTCATGCAAGTCATCAGCATCAGAATCAGTCCCTATTCTAAACTGGAACGTTAGTGTTCTAGGTTTAAGTCTCCTTAATACTCTGAGGAGAGCTGCGCTGAGGTCTTCAGTTACTCTTTTTTTCCATGAGTAGAGCTGCCCATGAGTGGAGCCCATCCTCTGTCCTGGAGTATCTCTGGTGGTGCTCTCTGCTAATCGCGAAGCCCACGTCTGCATTCTGCTGCTGCAGTTTTTCTCATTTCAGCTCCCAGGCTCCCTCACCTCTGTGCTCTGTTAGTGCAGCTTGGCCTCAGATCTGTCTCTTCTGTAGGTAAAACAAGCAAACCGCAGACACTCATTCCCCAGGAACTGGAAACTGGACTGGAAAGAGCCCAGGGTGGCCCAGTACTACCCCATTCTGATATTGTGATGATCTGGGACACCCTGCTTTGTGTTTTAATGTAACCTACTTGCAGATCATTCCAGGCCTTTATCTTGGCCCCTAAATCAGTTTCTCTGTAGTCCTGACTTTTGTTCTGGTTCTACCACCATCTACCTCATTAAGTCCCATTCTTACCAGCTTACCTCGCTCCATACTGAAGTGTGACATGTGTATGTGCTTTCCCTGATGGGTCTTCATTCAGACCTATAAGTGGGTACGCCTCTCTCTCTCTGGCTATCTCTACTGTGTTTCTGTGCGTGCCTCACTTGTCTACGGTCCCAGTATTTGCATTTTCTAGGATGTGTGTAATTTAATGTAGTCTTGCTCCCTTTTCTCCTTCTTGGTCTTCATCTGCCTCCTCCTTCCATCCATATCTAGAAACAGACAACAAGAGTGGGAGGAGAATAAAGAGATAATGAGAATAACCATTTGGGGCTGAAAGAATTTTAGAGTGTCTGGGTGACTGGCCCTAAATCCCAAACTTTTACTCATTCTGGCCCTGCTTCTGGATCACGAGGGTCAGTGGGTAGGTCATGGGTATTGACTGATCTTCTGCAGGATGTCCAGTCCTAGGTTAGGACCTGTAGATTGGAGACAGGGGAGCATTATTCGTTACAGAGATTCTGTTCCCTCAGAAATTTGTAGCAAGAGGGATTTGCAACAGGCCTGGGGACAATGATGGCTAAACTATGCTAAACTTTCCCTTCTTGGCAGGCTTCTGATGGCAGAGCAGACCTCCCTGTCATGTGTCAGTAGAACACGTGAAACCAATGGGTGAGGCTGAGGATTAAAGGACCAGTGGCTACCTTTTGCCCTATTTACCTAAGGTGGCGTGGACCTCTCGAGGAGGAGCCCCTGGGAGTCTAGTTAGGCAGCCAGGAGCCAGTGATCTGAAGAATTCACCAGCAGGTGGCAGTCAAAGCCCTCAGGGCCAGTCTTTGGCTTCCCCATGGTTTTTCCAAAGTTCCCTAGCCCTGGAGTTTGAGATTCTCTGAGAATTGTAGCTGAGGATAGTGGTGGAAGAACTTAAAAATAGCACGGAGACACCTACTTTTACCACTACCCTTCCTCAGTCAGAAGAGGCCTAAGAGAGGAGCATCATTTCTTCCCGCTTTTTCCTCAGAACTCACAAATGTGAAGAAACATATACCTATGGCCACCCCTCCGCCCCCAGAGGATATAAGACCTAAAGCACAATAGATCCTCCCCCCAAAAGAAAGAAAAGGATTAGGATAATAGAAAATGGGTTTAAAACCTACCAGCACAAGTAGCTCATGCTGAGCAGCCTGGGCAGCAGTTATATTTGAAATGGCTCACAGACACTGGGTATGCCAAGAGAGCTGGGAGTTTATCACAGGTGCTGCAACATCTCCCCCAGGTCACGCAGTGGATTCTCAGTAACTTTTTCCTAACCAAGGTGACTTAGATTTTATTTAATCCAGGTAACAGGAGCATTCTCTTGTTTTGGAGGGCTCCTAATTCCCGGATTCTGCCTCCAGAACTATTAGTCCCCTTTATGAAAGGGTATCCCCAGAGGTATATACCGAGAGATGATATTGATACCTTGGGCCCCCATACTTCTAAATTTGAAAGGAGGGAGGAGAATCATACAAACAAAAACATGTTTGTATAATTCTGTTTAACTTCTTCCTTCGCCTGCTCCCTACTGTCAGAGTGGAGTAGAAAGAATACATGTGAGGCAGAGCTAGGTTCCCATCCCAGCTCAGCTGCATTAGCTGTGTGCTCCTGCACGTGTGATTGAATTCCTGTGAGCCTTACTATCCTAACCACAAATACAAGTTATCACCTCTCCCTATGGATTATTGCGAGTCTGTAATGAGATACGTATGTAAATGAGACGATGTATATAAATGGTATTCCCACCCTCCTTCCTAGCCTCTCTCCTTTTTCCCACCCCATCTACCACCAGGGGCTATGGCTGGAGCACCGATTCTCCAGGAGAGGTGATTGAAATGGCTGGAGGAGAAGAAGAGAGAGAAAAAAGAACTTCCCATTAGTTGCTTTAGAACACATCATGTTCCTCATAAACAAATCTTCCTGCTTGAGGCTAGTGGAGGGACTGAAGGAACAAAAGCTACAGTGAAGCTATTTATATTTTATTCCAAATCCCTCCCTGTTTGCTTATGGGGGCATTTTTCATACTGCCCTCACAGCCTGGAGGAGCACAGAACAACCGTGAAGCAGGAGGAAGTAGCTGGAACCAGGTGTGAACTGGCGGTTTTTTCCTTCCCTACCCTCGGGAGGGAGACGATCCTTGTGAATGAGCACTTCCTCCAGGAGAGCTCTGGTGTGAAATCAGGAGCTTGGCTGGGAAAGCTGAGCCAGACCTTGGATAACCCCTCCTACAGAAGCAGGAATCCCTGCTCAAGTGGGCATTCAAGGAGGGTTACAATCATGCTCCCCAGGAATCGTGTGTTCAGAAAAAATGCTTTGGGAAAAGCTGTGTTTGGAATCAGGCTGCAGACACTGGCTCTGAGAGTCCTAAGATTGCTCACAACAGCTGCTGAGCTCTGAGTAGCTAACGGGGTGGAGTGTGCGCTGCCACGGGTCTCTCCTCATAGGAGAGGTTGCTTATTTGTCAGAGATGCAGAAGCCGCAAGCTATCTAGGGCTTGCTCTCCAGTCTGCTCAGCAGCCTCGCTATTCATGTGACTTTTTTTTTGATGATTAACCTTGTTGTTCCTCCCCTTTCCCTCCCTGCCTCTGCTCCCCTCCCCCTGCCTCTCCCTGTACCTCCCTTTTTTCTTCCCTGTCCACATGCCTCTCTGCTGGTCCACAGCCAGTCCCGGCTCTGCAGCCCTCTCCGCAGCCTGTTCAGTTCTCTCCAGCCTCCTGTCCCCAAGTCCTTCTGCCAGTCTCTCCGCCCCAGCAGTACAACATGGTATAAACTCCGTTCCCCTTTTTGTCATGTCCATGTGTGGCCTGTATCTGTGGTATGTCTGTGGGGTCCATCTGGGACAAAGCAGTTGCACTTTCTGGAAGGCCGTGTTAAAAGGTGTTTCTTCTTGAGCAAAGAGCTAGCACAGGCTGAGCTATAGTCCATTCTAGTGGCCTCGTCACAGGATTTCAGGCATCAAAAGATGCCTAAATATAAGAGAGGAGCACTGAGTTCCCCTGAGTTTCAGGAGGGGGACAAAATTGGATGTTGGCTCTAACCTGGGCTCCTCATTGCTCTTCTATGTGCATCCTTCATCTCATCTCCTTTCTGGACATGTATGAACTCCCAGAACCCAGTTTATCCTGTATAGGATGGTTTTCTATAATTTCCTTCGAAGATAAAAACACAATTGCAGATTTCTCTGCCATTACTGGTAAAAACTTAAAATGTTCCTCATCTTACTGTGTTATTTTATATAAAAAACAGCCATTTCCACTGCATAGAACATGCTGTTTCAATTGTTTGTACCCTGACTCCAAATCCTGTGAAGACCTGATTTACCTCATAGTTGATAACTCCTATCATGGTTATGAGAGCCCTGGTTGTGTGTGTGTGTGAATCACACGGTCTGATTTTTCACTGGAATCCCTCTTTCCTTCCAACTCTCATCTCCATTCTGAAAAGCTCTGGAATGTGGACCTCAAAATAATCTGCAGTCCAGTCCTCTTGTCATCTGTTCCTGCCCACTAAGGTAGCAAAACAGCTAACTTGAAGATCAGATTCCTGAAAATTAAGTGAAACCACAGGAAAGCATTGTCTTTGTTTCTACTAGTTTGTTTTTCATAAGAAGTCCTGCTCTAGCATGTGCGTGTGCGTGCACGCACGTGTGCGCGCGCGCGTGTGTGTGTGAGAGAGAGAATTACCATCAAGGAAGCAGAAGGAACGGGGACGCTAACAAATTCTGACCTATCATCATATAAGTGAGAGGCAGAACACCATCCATCCCTCTTGCTGCTTAGAGAAGAGAGCTGAGAGAGGAGGCAATTACAGACTAGCCTGTCAGTCTCCTTGCCCTCCAGCTCAGCCACTCAGCCTGGCCTCCTTTCAGAGGTGAGAATTGGAAGTGGTTCATGAAGGGCAGGAGAACTCTAGGCAAGTGTCAGAGAACAGAGGTGGAAATGACCTCAAGAGGAGGGATAAAGGGGATAAGCAGCAGGAGGGGAAGCCCACCAGTCCTTCTGCTGCATAGGCAGAGCTGGGGAGCCCCATGAACCTAGCCATCCCTAGTCCACTCAAGGTGTTGTCTAGGTCCTTTATTATAAAAACAGGATCTATGGCAACATAGAGCCTTTTGTATGGTTGGAGACATGAGGAAGACAGGAAATGGAGAAGGACTTACAATCTCTTTTTTTTTTTTTTTAAGCCCTAATTAGTTTGTCCTGTCTTTATATATACAGAAAGTTGTGTTGTTGCTCCCATCTCTCCAAGGCTAATTCTGATAGAGGTCATAGTCACAGTGGCCATTGTTATCTCATATGTGGTGAGGAGTCTGATTCTGGAGTTAGGCTTCAAAAACCTGTTCAGTTAATAGCAATTTTTTTTAAGTTTTATTTTTAAATATCTCTACACCCCATGTGGGGCTCGAACTCACAACCTTGAGATCAAGAGTCACATGCTCCAGAGACTGAGCCAGTCAGGCGCCCGTAGCTCACAGCAGTTTAAAACACCACATGATAGAGGCTTAGGGCTAAAAAGTGCCTCCCAGGGAATGGAGGCAGGAGTATCCCAAATTGATGTAAGTAAAGAAGGCTGTAGAGAGGGTTGCTATTTCTGTCTATCTGTCTTTGTGTTGAAGCCAGATACAGGGGGCTTGATATGACCTGAGTCCTCAAGTCTCCCTTGCTGTCTCAACAGGCAGATGACCTCAGCAACCCCTTTGGACAAATGAGCCTTAGTCGCCAAGGTTCTACTGAAGCAGCTGACCCATCCTCAGCTCTGTTCCAGCCCCCACTTATCTCCCAGCATCCTCAGCAGACTAGCTTCATCATGGCTTCTACGGGACAGCCCCTCCCCACATCCAACTATTCCCCTTCTAGCCATGCGCCACCTACTCAGCAAGTCCTGCCGCCCCAGGGCTATATGCAGCCCCCTCAACAGGTGAGCAGCATGGGCTCCCAGCTTAAATCACTAATTCAGTTTGTCCACTGTTATAATCCTCCTTTCTTCGCCTAGTTTAGATAGATCAGAGGAGATACCTGTCCCCATTTCCATTTCCCCACCTTGCACTTGAGAGTTGTCTTTCTAGTCAGAAGGTCATCCTTCAACATAACATAAATCATTCCTGTTCTGTTTCAGACTTGTATGTTAATGCTGCAGTTGCAGGTCCAAACATCTCTATTTATAGATTTCTGGCCTTTGGCCCTGACTCATTTATTGATTTAAAGATTTATTTATTTGGGGGTGGTGAGGCAGAGGGAGAGAAAGAATCTCAAGCAGACTCCTTGCTGAGCACAGAGCCCGACTCGGTTTGATCTCACAACCCTGAGATCATGACTTGAGCTGAAATCAAGAGTCGGGGATGTTGGGGTTGAATTTAAGGGAGCCTCTCACATATCTGTTTCCTCTCACCATAGATCCAGGTTTCTTACTATCCCCCTGGACAGTATCCTAACTCCAACCAGCAATATCGACCTCTCTCTCACCCGGTGGCCTACAGCCCCCAACGTGGTCAACAGCTGCCTCAGCCATCCCAGCAGCCTGGTAAGAGGAACTGCTGGGGTAGGGAGGCAGTAAATAGAGGAAGGGCAGAGACTTCCTTGTTTAAAAAAAAAAAAAAGGCACAGGAATGATTAGTTCCAAGAGGGACCCAGGATCTCCAGAAAAAGAAAAGGTAAAATAGACAGGAGAAGGAAAATTACTAAGAGAGTGTAACCTCCTAAACATTGTTGAGACCATGCTAATGTCTTCTCTGCCTTGCCTATCCCTAGGTTTACAGCCCATGATGCCTAATCAGCAGCAGGCGGCTTACCAAGGCATGATTGGGGTCCAGCAGCCACAGAACCAGGGCCTGCTCAGCAACCAGAGGAGCAGCATGGGGGGCCAGATGCAAGGCCTGGTGGTTCAGTACACTCCACTGCCTTCTTACCAAGTGGGTGCATTCTGCACTGGGAAAGATCACCCAGTCCTTGGGATGAGGAAAAGGAAGACAGTCTCCCACATCATCCAGTGTGACAACTCCAATACTAAAATACTGTTCACTTTCCCCCTAGAATTTGTAGGTGTTTTTCCTCTGAGAGAAAGCCCAGAGAGTCTGAGAAGATTGTCTTTATTTAAATTGTTTGGTCTTTATACAGCCGTGCAAATGAGTATATGGCCCAGAAAAGTAGGATCTAAAGGAAGTCAGGTTCCTTTCTCTACATCAGATGCCCGAGGGAGGTGTTTGGAGAAGAGGGAAGTGCAGAAAGCTCTGTACACATTTTCTTTAGGCAGATGAGGAGAGTAGGAGGAGTCTCTACAGGTAGGGAAGGAAGTCAGTGTCCTGGTGTAGTGATGACTTATTTGGCCATTCTCTGGATGAGCTCATTGGGAGTACAAGTGGTCATTCTCTTCTTATCTCTACCCAGGTCCCAGTGGGTAATGACTCACAAAATGTGGTCCAACCGCCTTTCCAGCAACCCATGCTGGTCCCTGCGAGCCAATCTGTGCAAGGGGGCCTCCCAGCAGGGGGCGTACCAGTGTACTACAGCGTGATCCCACCGACTCAGCAGAACGGTACGAGGTGAGGACTCCCAGAGAGTCGGGGCACATCTCCCATAGACCTTCAGCAACTTTCCACTGACCTAAGAAAAGAAAGGCAGGGGTAAAGATTCCAGTGGTGCCCTAAAGCAGGTAGAATGTGAGGGAGTTCATTCTTCTTTTCTCCTTGTTGTTTTGACATTTGAATAAGAGCTCATCAGCAGAAAAAAATTCCTACTCCAGAGACAGAGGCTTTATGATGTCCCTAGTGTTTTGTTTTTTTTATCAGTGGGATTTAGAATTATGGGATAGAGACTGCTCATCATTAAAAGAAGCAATATATATATATACATATATGTAAATTTTTCTATGTACCTGTTTATATCCATGGATGAATCTCAGATGGTCTATTTCTGTATGTCTATATATATATATTAGTATATGTCATAGCTGATAGAATTTTAGAGGTAGAAGCCACCTTAGAAGTATTTAGTCCACTCCCCTTGTTTTATTTTTCTCCCTTTTATAAATGAGAAAATTCCAGCTAGGGAGATTAAGAAACTTACTCAAAGTCAACCAGCTAGTTAGAAGTAGAGCTGGAACTAGAAGTCAACTCTGGGCCTATTTGTATGTATTTCTGTGTTGCTCGCAGTATGTATGTTTACTTCTCTTTTTGTGTGTATGTCTCCATGTTATCTTGAGTATTGGGGGGGATTCCCCCTTTGTCTTTAGGTAACTCTGTTTGCCATTGTGTAAATATCCTAAATCAGACATCTCCTTAGTTCTGTTTTACCCATCTCTCTCTGGCACTGTGTGCCTGTTTCTGGCACTTCGTGTTTCTCAGTGTTTGTGTGTGTGTGTGTGTGCGTGCACGCATGTGTACGTGTCTGGTGTTTCCACACTGTTGGGAAGAGCCTGTGTCACTAACGTTCCATCTGTAGCACTGATTAGCAGCTTCCTAATTGAAAGATGATCAAGTACAAATATATATAATTAACTTTGAACTGATGAGTGATTTTAGAAATTGCATGGCAAATTGGTCTGGGAATGACTGGCTGCTGCCTCTGCTTCCCACGGGGAGGCCCGGCAAGCAGCAGCTGTTTGCCAGGAGCTGTGCTCCTCCCTCTCCCACTTTAACACTACTCTCTTCTCCATCCCCCAGCCCTTCTGTGGGGTTTCTGCAACCTCCCGGCTCTGAGCAGTACCAGATGCCTCAGTCTCCCTCTCCCTGCAGTCCACCACAGATGCCACAGCAGTACTCAGGTAAGAGGATAAAGAATTGGGAGGTGTTGGGTACCAGCAAGAGCAAACACTGCTGAAGGATTTGTGCTCTAGAGCTGGGAACGACAAGAGAGTTCAGGGATTGGCTCTGTCCCCAGCTGTAACACCACCACAAGGAAAGACCAGAGTCCTGACTGGTGTTTTCCAGGGGTGCTGAAGTTGACCTCTTGAGAAGTGAGGCTGGTTGCCCTATCTCCATCCCTGGGAAGCCACATCCTTGATTGGGTTCCTTGTTTTCTTTCTTATTTTTTTTTTCCTCCCTGTATCCAGCATTACACTCACCACTCACATGCCTTTGAGACATGAAGTGCTTACCTCTGTCTCCAGTACTCTATCTTCCTATAGACAGCTTTACTTTTCTGTTGGGAGTGTGAGGGAGGCTGATAAAATGCTTTTTAAGTCATATCTTAGATTTGTTTGGCAGTTTTTCATATGTGCTCACATACATTGTGTCATTTTAATTCTCAGCACAACTCTGTGAAGACAAGATTTAAGACTCAAAGAGGATAAATGACTTGCCTGAGGTCACGATCCTAGGTCTTTTGCCTTTTCATAACCCATCCTGCACCCTCAATATCACACTTCCAACAGGTCTCTGTACTCTATTCCTTTCCCTCCAGTGGGAAATAAATGGCTATCATGTTCAATAGCTAAAGGCTTTCTTTGAAGGGGCAGCTGTCCGATGAATAGGCTGATGCCATGCAGCCTCTCACTTTCTGCCTTTGCCAGGAATTCTCCCAACACACCAAGTACAGCTACCCTTGTTTGTTGCCCTTTCACCTCACCCTGGCACAGCATTACACTGCAGCTAAAGCAACTTCGGGGGTTCTCCAGTGGGGGACATCTTAATGCAGTCTCCAGCCATCCCCAGTTCCCTCTGTTGTGGGAATATCAGAGTGCCCTCTTCTGGTGAGAGGGAAATATTTTGACAGTTTTCCCCATTTTAGAAATAAGATTTTCACCTAGGAGTTTTTGCACTCTGTGTTAGATGCTGTGGAATGGATTCCAGAATTAATCTTGCTCATAAGACATGATCAGTTCTTACCTTCAAGGAGCAATGACTTCTCCCTTCATCTAGACCAAACATGGCTCTCTCACAGGCTGAGAGGTTTTAAATTCAACAGCCTTTACCCTTTATTACATTACTGGTCTCTCTAGCTGTTTCTCCTAGTGTCCGCCAGGGGCACTTGACCTTGATATTCCCAGCGGGATATGGAAATTGTAGAAACCAGCTCCAAGAACCGCTGTAGCCTCTGGTGGTTCTTGCTCCTGCAGGGCATTTTTTCTCTTGTTTGTTAAAACAAGTGTGTGCATATACATATGGGTATACTTGTATGTGCATTTTTATGTGAATCCTTAGTGGTATCTCAGTGTATGTATTGGGTCTTTGTGGTTGTATCGCTTCATCTTCAAGTACAAGGTCTTAGAAACAAAGCAAGTGAGAAGAATTTTTCACTACCTACTCTGGACTTAGTGCTAGGTTAAGCAAACTGGAACAGCTGTTGTTCTGAACGTTGGCAGCACTGGAGGTCTGGCCTGGGATTAGAAGGAGGTCATCTGTGCTCTTCCCAAATCAATAGTAATGGAGGAAGCCCTCTTCATCATCTAGTTCCCTTACTTCTTTGGAATTTCCTGTTATATGTCTTTTCTTCCAAGCTTCCCTGATTGATTGATTCTAGACTTCTCTGACTGATCCCTTGTACTCTTCTTAGGTGATGGGACCCTATGTTCCAGCTGTGTCACCTAAGAGACCGTATTCACCATATCATTGATTTTAAAAGTCTTCAGTCTCTGCTCATGGGAATATAAGAGGAGCTGGAAGGAAAAAAGTGCTGCTTCTTCCTTTCCAGTTTGCCTTTTATTGGGAAGAGAGAAAGCCAGCATAGCCCACAAGGGCTGCTATGTCACCTTCAGAGGACAGTCACCCGCCCTTCTTCCATGTAGCAACATGGTCACTTTTCCAAAAATAAAGGCAGGGATTAAGATTGGCTGTTCCTGGAACAACTGTTCTGGCTTATTAATACATTTTTGTAGTTGTCCAGTTTACCCCCAGGCCTAGACCTAAATTCCTCCATTGTGGTATTAGACAGCACTATAACCCCAGGAAACACTTTTCTTCCCACTAAAATGATGGCCCACAGGTCCCTTGAGGTTACTCCAGAAGCGCTTGTCTGGGGAAGATGCACACAGACGTGAAATGTCAGTGATACATATACACAGACTCCCAACTCACTGTGACACAGCACCATGGCCAGAGTGAGGTATATACGGAAATAGCCTCTCACACTTACTGGCTCATTTTGTAGCTGAGGGGATTTCAAAGCTGAAACGAACACTTTTCTCTCCCACTCTGTAAGGATACTTCTTTCCTTCACCAAAAAAGGGGAAAAACGCTAAGATACTGTTGGATTATTTCCTGTAATATGGGAAAGATGGCTGTTGATATTATTTCTCTGGACATTCCTTTCCATAGATTTGATTCCTGGTGGTAAGGAAGAAGCCTTATCATCAGTCTTCTACCTTAGTGATTTAAAAATAAAAAAAACCTAAACAAAAACCATTTCTGCTAGACATAAATGTCATCTGTTTGTATTTACGCGGTTTGCTCTGCCCAATCGACCTTTCTGCCCAGGTTTAATGATGCCACTTAAAAAGCCATTCACATGTCCCCTCTCCTTTCAGAGCTTTCAGGCTGAAATTGATTTCCTTATTCAACCCCCCTCTCCCCCTTCCCACTTCAACCCAGGCCCCTTTCCCCAACCTGATTATATGGAAGTGCTGTCCCTGGGTAGTGGGGTGGTTTTTCTCTTCTCTTCTTTCTTTCTTTTTTTTTTTTTTATTGCCACGTCCATTAAGAAGTAGCGACAGTTTAGCTGTTAGCAGATGCCACCTGCTTTTGGCTTGAGGAAGAGAAGCATAAAAATCAGCGCATCAGCATAGTGCTCTGTGTCCCAGCTGAGTGAAGGAACAATGCGCCAGGCCAGTGGGGGAGGGCTCAGTGTGGGGAGGACCAAGGCTGGGACTGAAAACCCTGGCTTTGTTTTTGTCAGGATCAGAGAAAATAATATGAGGACTTTGTTCTCTTTCCCCCTCCCCTTGAGCCCTCTCATAGCTCCTTATGGCTACATGTTGGTATTAGAAAGAGCTTCCACCGTTTTCCTCATGCCCACACCCTACACACTCACATGTCCCCCCCCCCATCCTTTCCTGGCCTGAGGCACTAGGCTCAGATTATGAGCTGCCTTCTAGAAAGCTGTAGATTTGATTATTTTTGCGTTGGCCCCCTCAGGTAGCAATGAGGTGTTTGAATAAGGTCAATTGCAATTTTGTTGGAAGAGGATGTTGGAGCAGGTGGGGCTCTTTGGATGGGGAAAGAAAATGCCCAGAGCAGCTATAGTAAGGGGGGAGTTGTTAAATGTATGACACTCCACAGCTATTCGATTTTCTGGTGGCCCTTCCGCAAGCCATGCTGACGAATACCCTGTCCCCTATGGCAGAGGATGGGGAGAGGCGAGCCTGTCACTCTGAGTATTTGTGTTCTCTGATTAGATGGACCCCAGAGGGTGGGGGCCACAAATTGACTGGAGAATAGGGTACGACAGATGCTGTGTCTCCCAAGCTGCCCTCTGAGGCCTCCTGCTGCTGCTTTTCCTTCCCTTTGACTGGTGCTATCTGAGAAAAGCAGTCACGCTCACTTCCCAGCATGACCGGTGCCCAGGGCAGAGGCTGCAGCATTTCCCGTCCCAGGAAGCAGTGTGACGGCGGCAGCCAGTGGCAACCTCAGAGCACCGAGCCGTGACAACGGCAGCACTGCGGCAGGTTTTTGCACTAGCCACCCCCAGTCCCATTTCTCTCCCGCCACACACACATGGACTCAGCCTGTCCCTCAACGGAGATCTAGCCTGAGAGGTCAGGAGCAAACGCTCAGGCTGGACAGTCCCTGTGGGGAAGCAGAGCTCCTGTCCATCCCTCCCAGCGGGGACTGTCGTTCAGACTGCTTCTCCCTGATCCCTTACCTTGCCTTTCACCATGAGGAAGTTTCAGGACTTAATGTTCTTCCACATTGAGCTCTTCACTTCCCCCGGCCTATGAGAGGGTAAGGCTACCCATGGTTGTTTGTGCTAAAACCTCAGGCTCACATCAGTCACCTGAACCTGTCAGTGAAACCTTCTGAGAGTCTGACCCTCCCACTCGATTCCCGCCATCATGGCTCTAATTCATAACCTCCTCATTCTTTTTTCTGTGGCTTTCCAATTCGTGTTTCTGCCTCCGGTCCGTCCCTCTCTTCAGCCATTTTACATCCGGCCACTTGAATTAGCTCTCTGAAGTTCTGTTCCCAACACCTACAAGATAAAGTGCTTCAAACTCTGACACCAGCTGTTTGCTTAATGTGTGACTCCCTGATAGACTGTCCATCCCGTAAGGGCAAGGACCACTTTTGTTTGTTGTACACCCAGTGCCCAACATAGGAACTGGCACCTAGTAAATGTTCAATAAATGTTGAATAAATGAATGAACATATCTCCCACTTCCCCTACACAACCCCTGTGCCTCAGCACCTTGAATTATTTGTCATTTCCTGAATGTGACATACAGCTCTGTGCCATTCCCAATTCAAGTGCTTCCTGGCCTGGCTTAGGGAAGCTGTGTGCATTCATCTCCAGAGCAACCAGAGATTGCTGACCTATCTGCAACCATTACCAGAAAAGCCTGCACGTGCCTATGGCCCTGGCCCAAGCCCCAGGCTGGGACCTGTACCATGCCCAGACAGTTAAGCAATCTGACCTGGGCATTTGGTAATATCTGATTTTGACAAATGGCATAGTTTTCTGCCAAGCATATGAGGCACCCCTTACCAGGTCAAGGCCACGAGAGCATTGGCATCTGGGACCCATGTCTCTTCCACTCAAACTTTCACTTGGTTTGGGGAGAGGGGAGTCAGACACCAAATCAGCAACTATCTCAGATTCCTGGCAAGACACAGTTTAAGTGACCCTGAGGCGAGTGGGTAGATTGCTTACTGGCTTTCACACTCAGGGTTAGTTGGAAGGTCAAAATATAGTCTAAATTCACAACTAATCCCTTTCTTCCTGCCACTCAGGAGTGTCACCTTCTGGACCAGGTGTGGTGGTCATGCAGCTGAATGTCCCTAATGGACCCCAGCCCCCCCAGAACCCATCCATGGTCCAGTGGAGTCATTGTAAATATTACAGCATGGACCAGCGTGGGCAGAAACCTGGAGACCTATACAATCCTGACAGTAGCCCCCAGGTGAGTCCTGCAGCCCAACATTATCTTGGCAAGGAGGAGACCAGATTTTTCTCGGGGAATAATCTTTGCCATTGACTGAGCAGCCTCTTCTACTTGTCTTTCCATGGGCACTCTTCAGGGGAGAATCATAAGAAATAGAGGAGAGTATCTGCTTTTAAGGAACCTAAGATCTAAGGGACACATACTTGGAAATGCCAAGAGAATACTTAAAACACTATGTCAAAAAGTGGATGTTAAAATAATACAAATTGGGGCACCTGGGTGACTCAGTCCGTTAAGCGTCTGACTCTTGATTTTGGCTCAGGTCATGATCTCAGGATCGTGGGGCTCTGAGCTCAGCAGGGAGTCTGCCTTGAGATTCTGGACTTCTCTCCCTGTCCTTCTCCCTCTGCTCCTCCCCACCCCCACCCCCCGCTCACTCTGTCTCTCTCTAAAATAAATCTTTTAACTAAATACATTAATTAATACAAATTAATTAGGAACTAAGGGGGCTGTTGGAAGGAGCAGTCCGACTTTGACAGAGTTCTGCAAGAGAAGTTTTCTGAGCGAGGTGAATTTTAAGCCAAGCCATAGGAATATCCAGAGGGTCATGTTTGGTGTACATATGATGTGTGCTCCTCTCTCCAACAGGCCAACACTCAGATGAGCAGCAGCCCCGTCACATCTCCTACCCAGTCTCCAGCACCCTCTCCTGTCACCAGCCTCAGCAGTGTCTGCACAGGACTCAGTCCCCTTCCTGTCCTCACACAGTTCCCCAGGCCTGGGGGTCCAGCACAGGGTAAGGGGTTAGATTAGGGCTGGCTGCTGCCCTTCACAGCCCATTCCCAAGTGCGAAGATCCAGATGGTAGCAACCGGCAGGAAACCAGTGTGGCTGGTCATCCAGCTCTTGGAGCCAACTCTTCCTTTAATATCCCTGTTTAGGTCAAGGACACCTGCCCCTCTTTAGTGCTGCCCATAGTCAGCTTACTGCAGACCTCCTTTACATACTTAGTATTTACTACCAAGTCTACAAGGTAGGGGACTATGAGCCCAGAGTTTAACTCATCAGTACTGAGTCTGAGGGCTGAGACTATGGGGCTGTGTCAGAAACACTGTAGTTTTAGAAGAGAGAACACTGGAGTTGGATTGAAAGACTTGGGTTCAAGTTCATGTTCTACCACTAATTAGCTTTGTGATGTTGAGCATGTTACTTAACCTTGGAACCAGTCCTCAGTTTCCTAATCTATAAAATGGGGTTAATCACATATAAGATGGAAATAATCTTATCTGTTTCTGCCTTGGCTGTCACAAGCAGTATTAAAAATCAGATGAGAATATGGTTTAAAAACTTTAAAGTGCTCTGAAATCTAACATTTATCAACAATAAAGTAACATTTATGGTGCTTACTGTGTACAGAGCATTACTATAAGTGCTTTGTGTGTCTTGTATTCACTCAGCCTTCAACACTGATGAAGAGAAAATGTACCCAACCTCTCATTTCCAGTAACAGAGCCAGGATTTGAACCTAGGCTGTTTGGCTCTAAGCCTGTGCTCTTATCCACTTACTGTATTGCCACTCAACAGGAGTTAGAAACTTGAGCCCTGGGTTTGGGGTAGGAGAATCTATATAAGAAATTAGGGGAACCGGGCTGGCTCAGTCGGTAGAGCATGTGACTCTTGATCTCAGGGTTGTGAGCTCAAGCTCCATGTTGGGCATAGAGATTACTTAAAAAGAAAGAGAGGGAGGGAGGGAGGGAGGGAGGGAAGGAGGGAAGGAAGGAAGGAAGGAAGGAAATGAAAATGAATGAATGAAAAACATTCATAAGGGTCTGTAGGTTTCCTCCAGGGCCTTTCATCTGCAGTGGACAGAGCCCTTCTTCAAGGGTGAGGGAACCTAAAAGCCCCATTTGCCTGAGATACTTAGGCTGAGAGCCAAGGGGTTTAGGAAGAGAGACAACTTTTCAGTCAGTCACATGGACACTCCTATCATAGAAAAAGTGGGAAAAGTATGCATTGTTGTCATCTATCTCCAGAGCCCCCATAAAAGTCATATCATGAAGTTCTAACTCCCAGAAAACCATCTGTTCTTCCTCCCTAGGTGATGGGCGCTACTCCCTCTTGGGCCAGCCATTACAGTACAATCTGTCTCTCTGCCCTCCCTTGCTCCATGGCCAGTCGACTTACACGGTACACCAGGTAAGGGTGCCCACCAACAGACCCCTCTTCTCATCCAGGCCCCTATCTCTGAGCCATCCACCTCAACCAGTGGGGTGACAGGGGAGATAGCACAGTGAGAATGAACAAAGTGGGAGGGGCCTTACCCCTCTCCCATACTCATTCTTCCCACCTGACCCCAGTGCCAAGGGGGAAGGACTCTGTTTCTCAGTGGCCACTCTGGCCAGTCTGCCTGCCTGGTGGGGCAGGATCCTCAGGGTTGGGTGCTGCTCCTTAATCTTTCAGACAGACATTAGGATGCAAGGCAGTCAATGTTGTTTACCTGGGATGAGAGTTATCTTTCAAATGTTGAAGGGACAGAGTGGATTGAAGCATGGAAACCGGAGCAAGAGACAAGCACTCAAATCTGCCTCCACTGACCTGGGGACAACAGATGTCGGTGAGTGACAAAATGCTGAATCCCCAAGAGAAGGTGCTCACCCCTCCAGCCTGCATTACCAGCCCAGGAGGAGTGGGAAAAGCCAGCTTAGGGTGGGGAGTGGAAATAGGACCCTTCTGTACTCAAGAGCAAGGAGAAACTGGAGAATTGAAGCGTCTCAGTCCTCCTCATCAGGCCATTTCAGGTCCTGGGAAAGGTGATGGGAAAAACTGAGTAGAACACAGTGGCAGGGGTTGCTGAGCCTATTAACGGGAGAGTCTTAAGAGAGTGGTCCTGACCCTAATCTAGGATGTCTGCCTTGGTAGTATTCCTAGTCTTTTAGGAGAAGCTCTACAAGAGAATATGGGGGAGTAACCCCCCTGCAGGCCTTCCCCACTAAGCGTACAAGATCTCTTAGATTACCCTTACCTGGAGTGGTTTGCTGTTCAAGGAAAGGCAGGGAAATGGACTTCCCTAGATGAGAAGGAAGAGGGATCTCTGGGAAGGGGACGACTGTGGGATATATTTCAGATTGGGCTACTGACTTGGCACAAGAACTGAGGTGTAGGTCTCCAGATCTGAAGAAATCTGGGATTCTGACCCCAGTTTCTTCTTGGTCTAAGAGAAGAAAAAGGCTTTTTTTGTTTCTCCTAGCTGCCTAGATGGTGGGGTGTTGAATTGATTTGGGGAAGGAGGAATGGGCCAAGTGGGCAAGGCCAGGCTTTTGAGGACGCCGACTATAGACTTGGGTCAGCGGCAGACTTCTCTGCTGGCTGCTTGCTAGTCCTCTCACAACCATGTCCTCTCTCCTCCCCTTCCAGTCCTGGGCCGGGTGCTGGAGGTGACAGATCTCCCTGAGGGCATCACTCGGACCGAGGCAGACAAACTCTTCACTCAGCTTGCCATGTCTGGCGCCAAGATCCAATGGCTCAAGGATGCTCAGGGGCTGCCTGGCGGGGGCGGGGGGGACAACGGTGGGACTGCTGAGAACGGCCGCCATGCGGACCTCGCTGCCTTGTACACCATCGTGGCTGTGTTTCCCAGCCCCCTGGCTGCCCAGAATGCCTCTCTTCGCCTCAACAACTCTGTGAGTCGCTTCAAACTTCGAGTGGCCAAAAAGAACTATGACCTGAGGATCCTGGAGCGAGCCAGCTCCCAATAAACGGAGGAGGGGAAGGGACCGGCACAGTAGGGGTGGGGGCAGGGTGGAGGGGGTCGAGGGATCCTGACAGATCACGGACAGAGGCAGAAAGGAAGGTGACAGACACTGAACTGGAGCCTGAGACAGTGGGGATGAAGATGGAACAGACACACTGGCACTGGACTCCTCCTCGCTCCCCTGCCATGGGTCCCCTCTTTTTCCCCTGGTTGGCCCCCCTTGCTTCCCTCTCCTTCCCATCCTCTTCTGTTATTTTTTATCTCTTCTCCCACCATGAAATTAATTTTTTTCATATTTTTTTGGTCAGGTAGAATTGGGAGGGTCCCACACTCCCCTCTTCGATCTCCTTACCATCCCAAGGTCCCTTTTCATTTCTAGTCTTTATGAATATATTTATATGGACAGAATTAAGAAAAGCAAAATTGATTTCCCCTTTCTCTCACTTCCCCCATCTTGTCTCCCCAAACCCCAAAGAGTGAAAACTTGGGCCTCCCCCCACGTCCCAGAACACTTGTATATTGTTTGAGGTTCGTGCGGCAGTAACAGACAGTATTTAATTGCACATACAGATGTTTGCTGGGTATATTCACTGTAAATTTTATTTAATCTGATTTTTTGTTTGTTTGGGGGGTTACTTGGGGGGAGGTTGATTTTTGTTTTTAAATATAAAAAAAAAATCTGTCACTGGACGTCAGTCCCTGTTTCTCTATTGCTGCCCTGGTATGGGTAGGGGTTGGAGGTCCTGGGTAGGTACAGTCCCACAGCTGTTGGAGGGATCTCATGTGGGTTGGGATGGCTTTCCCTAGCATATGCACACATACCTTCCTAACACTATTCCCTCATCCCATTCTCCTCCCTGGGCATAATATTCGGACAGGTGGCTGGGTCTCCAGTGGGACCTTTGTTCTGGGCTCTCCCAACTCCCAACTCCCAGTAAGTGTGGTTTCATCAAGCACATCTGTTCTCAACTCCAGACCTCTGAGTCCTTATTAGTAAAATAAGAGACTTGGACTAACTAGCTTACCTCTGAGGTTCCTTCCACTATGTTAATTCTGTGATACTCATTTAGGGTCCTCATGGCTGTCTGGGGGTGAGTGAGGTCCAAAACTGGGTTGAGATGGTGGCCTCATACGTGTCCAGAATCCGATCTTCTGAAAATGTTTCAGGGCTGGAGGACTTGGGCCCATCTTTACTACAAAAGCCATTGGGTGTTGCGTGGCAGAACAGAAGTGGATGTTTTTATAATAAAAGCTACATCAATTGAACTTGCAGTGCCAAGATGCCATATTATCCAGGCATGCTCAGCAGTCCTTGTCCTATGCAACTGAAGAAAGGTGAAAAGCAGACATTCCCTACCCCGCATGGACAGAGCTTTTCTTCTCTCTGCAGCTTCTCAAAGCTAGCCCTGTTGTTGTGCAGCCTGTCAGACCGGGGCCATTAAGAGCCATCCAGCAGCCCCTATTCAATCTCACCCACCCCTTAAAGAAAGTAAAAGAGTAGTGACAAAAATGACAAAGCACATTACCCTGGAAATCTCTTGGGTTTGGGTAGCAGTATCTCTAGCCAGGCTCCTCTGAGGCTTGTCTGACCCAACCTCCAACGTAATCCTTTACTTATAGAGATACAAGGGATAAAGCAGCACTACATGACCACATCCAAATGGCTGTCCTCCGAGATGGGAGTATCTTCTCTTTCAGCCATGTCACAGCCCAGAGTAGGAGAAGGCTGCATCCCTGCGAGATAACCATGCCAGATACCTCACTGACCCATAAGTTCATATGCCGGGGCATCAGATGAGGGAGACAGAATCAGGGAATACCAATGATTTCGGAAGTGTGGGGCTTGGCTATCTTACCTCCAGAAGTTTGCAGGCCTCATGGGGAGGCAGATGTTACTTAGAGAAGATAACCCCCGCCCCCTGCCGTGTGGTAGCTATTGTCTTCTGTCCAGTGGGAAAGAGACCATCTCTACCCTCCCCCAGAGTCCCTCAGACAGAAGTCCCAGCCTGGATTTTTTCAGTAGCTCTTAGATTTCCCTTCACCCTGAGGACAAGATTTTAGAAGGGGGCTGGGGGGATGTTCCTGGGGGCACTGGAGGGAATAAAGCAGTACTATGCATGTTCTTCACTCCCTTTCAGTGAGGTACCCCTCCAACTACCCATGGATAAGGATGCAATCTAGTCTGGCTGGTAGGAAGCCTCTGAGAACTGAAATTCTCCTTTCTTCACCAGTTCCTAGCCCTTTCCTTCCTAAAGGTGTGAGGTTGAGGTAGATCAATGTTTGAGGGTGTAAAAACACATGGCCGCAGGAAAGACAATGGCTGAAAAATCAAAAGCTAGTTCCTAAAGTAGGTCCAGGGAAGGTAGAATTGGAGAGGTGTTTGGACTTTGGGGAAAGCTGTTTACAATTTCATCTTTACCTTCAGTCATCCAAAATCACTTAAATGAGTATGCAGCATGAACAGACACTGTCCCTTCTTGAATTTAGCTAGAACTGACCTGTACACCATAGATAAAAAACCAGGGCATAGCAGCTCTGGGGGATGGGAGGAGTTAGGGTCCAGCCCAGCCCAGACCTCCCCGTGTCCAATTTCTCTGTGTCAGCTGTGTCGCTCAGCTGTCCACTTTCCTCCAGCCCTGTCATTTCAGCTCTGACACCAAGGCGAGAGACTGGGAGGTCTACAAATAACGTCTGGGTAGCCGGTGTGAGTACAGAGGGTACTGGGGGGGCTTAGCCCCCAAGGAAGAGGACCAGTCCTCCCCCAGCACCACCATCAAGACCCCAGGGGCTCCCTCTTCCCTCCACAGACTGTGGACTGACTTAGGGAATCCCAAACGTAAGTTGCCTCTTCATCCTCTGTCCATTGCCAGAACTGCTCCCCGCAGCTTCCCCAATCTGTAGCCTATTCAGTGTCTTCGTTCCTCTCTTGCCTGTGAGTAGTTAGGGTTTTAGGAGTGAAATTATGACTCCAGGACAAGAGCTAGGATTGGAGGGTGGGGTGGGGGTGGGGTCAAGGGAATGGAGTAGTAAGGGAAGGAAAGGCTCATATTACTCTGAAAACTTAAAATAGCTGAGGACTGAAGCAGGCTGGGAACTAGGCCCCGGGCCCCCGGGACTCAAGAAAGGGGCTGGGGTGAACAAATGTCCCCAGCCCATCCCTCCAAGCATGCTCTTGGACACACACATTAAACCTCTTGAAGAAAGGGGATCTGGGAAGATGTGTGTCACATCTCTCTTGCCCACAGATTCCCAGGAGAAACAAACTAGGAAAATCCCTAAACCATGCAGCTTTGAACACTGTGTTGGGGCTAGAAACTCGGGTGGCCCTGTAGGGCGGGGAAGGATGTGCATCAGTTTGAGGAACCGGTTGGGAAGTTCTTTGGTCTGTTGCTCTTTTCTCTGGACCTCCATGGAATCTTTCTGTCGATAAGCCTGTGAAAGGATTTCTGTTTAACCAAGTTTCTCCCAAAGTCTCCCATTCAAGGACCACCCTACAGTGAGGGACAGGAATTAGGACAGGGACAGGGAAGAATGGCAGTCAGGGATTAGATTTCATAGTGGGGTCCCACCTCTTGCAGGATGACAGAAAAGGAGGTGCTGGAGTCCCCTAAGCCCTCCTTGCCAGCAGAGACTCGGCAAAGTGGGGTGAGTCTGGGCCTGTGATCACCGGGTGTGGGGAGCTGGGAAGCCACCGCAGCCCTTGAATGTTTGAATTGATCTCACTTGTATGTGACTCATCCATCATCAGAATGCTAGCCAGCACCTGCAGCCCCCAATACCTCCTAATCCTGGGGTGTGCCCCTTGCCCACGCTAGAAAAATGTTTAGTTAGCTTCAGCCTTACCTGCTGTAGAGAGCATGACAGTTCTTTTAACTTTGGGTTTCCTCCCCTCCCCCATCCCTGCCCTCAGCTACAGCGGCTGAAGCAGTTATTCAGGAAGGAACCTCCAGGGACAAAGGAGATGGAGCTTCCCCCAGAGCCCCAGGCCAATGGGGAGGCAGTGGGAGCTGGGGGTGGGCCCATCTACTACATCTATGAGGAAGAGGAGGAAGAAGAGGAGGAGGAGGAGGAACCACCCCCAGAACCTGCCAAGCTTGTCAATGACAAGCCTCACAAATTCAAAGATCATTTCTTCAAGAAGCCCAAGTTCTGTGATGTCTGTGCCCGGATGATTGTGCGTGAGTCACGAAGGGAAGTGGAGAGAGTGTGATGTTGAAGGCAGGAGGCAGCGGGGGAACGGGCTCAGGAGAGGAGCATTTGTATAGCAGGCAGGCTGGGGCAAGAAGTGGCTTTAAGAAAACACTATTAGAGGGGTGCCTGGGGGGCTCAGTCAGTATCCGACTCTTGATTTCAGCTCAGGTCAAAATCTCAGGGTCTTGAGTTCGAGCCCGTGGGGAGCTCCCAGTTCAGCAGGGAATCTGCTTGTCCCTCTCCGTCTGTTACTTCCCTGCCTGCACACACTCTCTCTCTCAAATAAATAATCTTTAAAAAATAAAAACAACACTATTAGAAACTGAGAGTGTTGGGTCCTAGACGGAAAAGGGACCTGAGAGCTAGAGTAGCAGCACTGGTACAAAGGGAAGGGGAAATCAAGAACCTTACCCAAACGTTCTTCCCTCTCCCAAGTCAACAACAAATTTGGGCTCCGCTGTAAGAACTGCAAAACTAACATCCATGAACACTGTCAGTCCTATGTGGAGATGCAGAGATGCTTCGGCAAGATCGTGAGTAGGCTCTGGGGAGCGAGAAAGTAGAAGGGAGGGGACGTGTTGCCAGCCCCCCCCTCACCGCCTTCCAGTCCCTCCCAAGTCATCACTTCCATTTCCCTGCTTTTTCTTTCTAAGCCCATCTCTTACTCTAAGAAGGGGCTGCACTCACAGGAGAGATGGGGTTCTGGGCCATACCCTGCTGCCTCTAATGCTTTCTCCCATCCCACCCTACAGCCGCCTGGTTTCCGTCGGGCCTATAGCTCCCCACTCTACAGCAACCAGCAGTACGCTTGTGTCAAAGATCTCTGTAAGTGCTCCATGTGGGACCCAAGGAGAAGGGCAACCCTAGAGATGGTTCCAGCACCACCTCTAGATTTGGAAGCCAAATTCTGAAACAGAAAGATTCTTTTTCCCATAGTTCTCTCTCAACCTAATATTTTAGCCAACTTGAATACAGAGTCAATGTTCCTGTTTTAATAGCTGAGGGAGATAAGATTTAGCGAGGGCTCTACATAGCTAACAGGAGGCTGAGACAAGACTGAAACCTTCATCTGCCTAGCTTCAAAATCTGGGCTCTTCCTCTGTAAAACTATTTCTAAGCAAGAACAAGGATTCTTGACTGTCCTCCTTGTTACAGAGTAATACCAGTCTCAGGGCTAGACCAAGAGCTGTGGGCTTCCTGGGCAGGTTCATAATTCGGCAACACTTACAAATTCGTTGACAATTTACTCAACATTTATTTGGAGGAGAGGCTGAACTTTATGAGGAGCATGGGTGGAAAAAGGAAGAACCCACTGGTGGCAGCACCCCAGCTTGCACATGCCACTCAGTGGAACAAAAAAGCCAGCAGTTAAAGGACCGCTGTCCCTAGAAGGAGAATAATGATTGTGAGCATCCCCCAACTCCCAAGCAACTTAGTAGCAAGGTTGTCTTTCCAACATCATATAATGCTCTGCCTGGAAGCAGTGCTGGTATTTTTTT